TTGTAATGTTTGTTTTGTATCGGAACTGATTTTTAACGCACCATCTGTCAACTGTCACATATTGAGGAGCTTGGCTTCTAGGCCAGCTGGAAAGTAGAGCTTAATTTGGTTTTGTGACTAGGTTTTTTTGTTGTCCTAGAAAGAGAAATATCTTACTAACAAGTGTCAAGTTATCAAGACATGCTGCCATTTGACCCCATCTCTCAGGGCCACAGCAAGCTTCATTTCTGACCCGAACAAGTCGACCAATCCTGTGCTGTGTCATCTGGCCGGAGGTGGCTGTTATCGGTATTTGCGGCTCTTGCGCGGCGTTTCGGACAATGCGACATGGCCGGCAGGTACCCGATCACTCCCGCGAAGGGTCAAGATTGTCGAAGCCAAGTGTGGAGATTCGCGAATATCATTGCCGTTTTCGAACGCAGATATGCAGGTCGCCCGTTGAACAGCTCACGCCGTGCCGGGTGGACCCGTCTTGGACGCTGAGACTCTCGGCACCAGTCGTAAACATGCACAGCGGGATTATTCGGACTACCTCCTAAAGCTGACTCGGTCTTTTATCCACAGACGGTCATCAGCCTCTTTTTACAGCGGTTCTTGACTCGCATCAACTAGTACATCACAAGGGCAGATCACGAGGCTGTGGTCCATTTGTTTGGGTAACGATTGACTTTAATAAATGCAAATTGGTATCTAACTTCACCACCACAAAAACTCCTTCTAATGCGACACGGAGTTGGAGTTGTCAGCGCAAGAGAACGCGCTGGAGCCTCCAGACTCCTTGTAGGTAGCCATGATGCCCACGATGGAGCCGTAGGCGCCGGCGATCATGAGGAACGAGCCGCTGACGACGACAAAGACACTGAAGCACACCATGGCGATCCAGCGCGGGTTCTTGTCGATCTTGCCGGCGCTCCAGTTGTCGTAGAGCCACATGCAGCCCATGGGCTGGAAGGACAGGAGGGTGCCGAAAAGGGCGCCGACGAGCGAGACCAGGCCGTCAAAGACGGGGATGGAGCTGGCGATGATGTTGGCGATGACGGCGACGCTGAAGGTGCAGCCGAGCCAGGTGATCCAGTGCTTCGCGGTGTTGGCAGTGAGGTGCTTGGTGCCGCGGAGCATGCGAATGAAGACGTACTTGGCGGGGAGCTGGGGAAGCGTTAGTTTGTGTTGCAGCACGCCAAAGAATGGATTGAAGCTTACGTGAATGACAAGAGTGGTAGTCACAATGAGACCGGGAAGAGCCAGGCCGTAGCAGACCTTCTTCATCGTGGTTCCGGCAGATCCAAGAGCCGGGGAAGCGACGTAGGAACCGCAGAAGTAGTAGACGATGACTCCAATGGCGATGTAAGTTCCGGTAACAACACCCTGGCAGATGAAGAGAGATCGGGAGTAGTGGCGGGGCTCGCGCATCTCGGAAACGATGGAGAAGAAGGCCGGGGTACCAGCGAAGGCGAAGACGAGGGTAGAGAGAGCGGAGGACGCCTCAGCGAAGGTCGGCTTGCCAACGATGACATAGTCAGAAACCCAGACACCGCCTTGAGGGGCCGCGGCGGGCCGGTCTTGAATACCGACGGCAATGGTGAGCGTCAAGACTTTGGATTGTTAGCTACTTGCTTGTGGAGGAATTCTAATTCAGGGGTTGTGCGTACTTGAGCTGAGGATAGCCACGAGACCGATCCAAGCGAACCAAGTGATCTTGCCAAGCGTCTGGATGCTACCGAAGCAGAAACCAACAAATGCAGCCACAGCAACGAAGATTGCAGTGCAGGCACCGTGGGTGGAAACCGAGTTGAGCGCAATGGAGGCACCAAGCATACCAGAGCCGGCAACGAAGATCCAGTCTGTCGTAGATATTAGCGGACTGAACGTTGCAACGCTTCGAACACGCGCAGCAACTTACAGAGACAGAAAACCACGGCAAAGAATTCACGACCAATGGGGCCAAAGAGCTTGCGACCAACATCGTCAATGCTGTACACGTCGGGGTGGTTCAACTTGAAGACTCCGACAATGTAGTCGGACCAGGTTGTCACGCCCGACACGAGGCACAACGCAATCACGCCCGGCACGATTCCCAAAACGTGGAAGGTTCCCGGGATGGACAAGACTCCGAGTCCGATCTGGGTCTTCATCATGAGAGCGGCTGTTCCAAGCCACCCAACCTATTGGTCGGAAGATTAGTCGCTGTGCGGGGGTCGTCGTCTGTTTTCCCGAATTTTCTTACATTGCGGTAGTTGGGACCATCTTCACCGATTTCACCGAAAACTGCATCGTAGCTAGCGTTCGGGTCGTCGTAGACGACGCCGACCTGGGACTGGGTTGAGACCTGGCCCAACTCGTCGAGGTGGCTTTCCTTGCTCTTATGCATGGTGGTAGCCATTTTTGTTTTTTATTGTCGGTCGATGGAGAATGGATATGTGCTCGATTCGAAAAGCAACGTCAAAGTCACTGCAGGAGAATATGTTTCAAGACTTTTGAAAAGCAGTCACTTTGAAGCGTCGAGGGTGCGATTGTCGAAGTTTTTTTTTTCAAATCTCTAGGAGAGATCCGATGTTGGCGGTTAGGAGGTGAAGAGGTTTAATGAATTGCCGTGAGACATGGAAGGCTGAGGTGAACCTTGAAGGACAACAAAGATAGAGTGCGACCAAAATGAGTTTGTCAAGACAATGGATCGAAAGCCCAGTACAATTGAGCGACTCGAGGCGAACTGCGAGAAGATGGATAATTCAAACATCCAAGCGTTCGACATTTTGGAGTTGGGAACGACGCGCTTTTGAACAAGATTTGGTCTAGCGCTGGAGCCGCTTCTCTTCAGCTTCGCCCAGCTCAAGGCCAATGCCGTCAGGGGCATGGTGTGCCAAGGTAGCGACGCAAGGTTCACGCTTCTATCAGACAGACAGGTTCCTCCAACAAGAGGACAAGACCAGATAGGTCAGATAGGACATAACCCACTGCATGAGGTAAATTACGCACCTATTTCTGAGAGAAACCCCATATTTTCCCCGGACTTCATCGACTGGGAGATACGTCACAGCGGGACGATGTTCAAGGATGCTAGGGAGAAATGACTCGCAATGGCACTTCCTTTTCAGGGTCGCGCGCAGTGGTACACATTCGGCCTTTGTCCGGCAATTGTCAAAAGCTTCGATAATTTTGATAAAATATGCAGTCGGGACCCGTTCCGACGCACACACAACTCTTACTGGAGGTACTGGGAGGCACTTGAGGCGACATTCATCTGATAGCCCCCTTCAGCTCAACCCCTTGACGGATGACAAGGAACTCCCACGGTCCACGGATCAGCCGGGACCAGATTACGATAACTTCCTGGTCAGCGAGGTTTTCCGTGGGCAACACGGCTACAGCGCGCGCTGAGTCCACATCCCTCCCATCGGCAACAACGCGTGCGGCAGCAGGCAACCGTTAAAACGCGCAGATAGCAGAGGGTTATTTGGCCTTTCTGCCCTGGTCGAACCGACAGCCTTTTGCGGGTCGGCTGTACCCGTTTTCTCACCACGGATTATGAGGCGGTCGGTCAGCCGGTCTTCCAGGCGCAGTGCGTCGAAAGCGGAGATCGGCGGCTCCATGACTCGTCTGGCATTGGTCTTTCTCAGGGTCTCGCTCTGCGCGAATCCCTGTTGTTGCGGGACCCTCCCTGGGGTGTCTCGAAGTAAAACACCATCGGGTGAGGATCCGGTCTTCTGCCCGTACCAACGGAAGCGGTTCCGACCTCCTCCGACGAAAAAAAAACCTGGCCCGCCGTTTCTGCGCCACCGCGAGCAGCATCAACGGCGGCGCATGAGTCTGGAGAGCCGCCGCGTGACCACGACGATGACAACAGCTAGCCCAAGCGCCAGACTCACTGATGTCACTGTCGGATGCTTCCCGCGTGTCTGGAGACCGGTGGGAACGTGAACTTGAATGCAGTGGTGACGCTTATTTTCCGCTTCCCCATGGGGAGCGCAGAGACAGTTGAGATGACGGCGTGGTCGTGGAGAAACTGTTACGTACAAAGAAGAATGCGCTGCCACCTTGCCCGATCTAAGCGACCAGAGCGTGTGCCACCAGTGTCGCCAGATTAGTCGGCGAAAAATACGGACTCTCATGCAGAGGCCGCCGCTCATTGGTGCTTGCAGGAGGACAAGTCCGCGGCCTTTTTTCTTCCAGAGGCAAGCCTGCGCGAGTGGCGTGGGCTGTCTCTAGACATGATAAACAGATACTTCTATAAGGGAAGACGCGATTGGCCTTTCTTAGCCTTCAGCTAACGCAGTGCTGGGAGTGTTGCACTGGGCTTGCTACTGATATCGGATGAGCCGCGGCGGCTCTAATGAGACACTACGCTAGTTTGAGTGTGGCAGACTGACTTGTCATGTACATGGCAGATGCCAACACGGAGCACGGAGAACGAAGCCGTTCGTTCTCTTCCCCCGCATTCGACCGGCCGAGGCGTCTGTCAGTTGTTTCGCTTCATTGGCAGAGACTCTTGTTGTTTCCACCGTCGGAGAGATACCTATCGCTACTTCTGCACTCTGACAACATGGGTGCGTGTCTTTAGCCCCCGAAAACCGACATACGACCGGCCCTCCGGATGCATCGTCGTGCTCGTCGTCGAAAGGAACATTGACTGTTATCTTCAAAGGGGTATCTTGCAGGCAACTGATACCTCTTAGCTGCGTCCGTTATCGGGCATAACGGCTGGACAGTCAACACATACATAGTGCACATCGTGCTTTATCACCGACGCAGTCTAAGAGACTAGATAGCATGCGGAACTTAGTGCAGATAAGCCCCCTAGTCAGTGCCCAGCAGAAGGAAAAAAAATTAGTTCTCCACCACGGAATCGCTACCCCGCGTTTCTGGTTCCACGATAGTCGTCACGTCACCCCTTGAGGCTCGCACCACCGTCGCGTGTCCAAAGACTGTATCAATATCTCGGTTTGATTGAATTTCTTTCTTTGGGAACAGGTTTTTTTTCTATCTCGTGTTATTGGAACGGCGCAATGGAACCCGGGACTGGACGCAACAAGGTTGCGAAAAGATCTTCAAACGCGTGAGTTCGGCGTTCTTCGGCGCGTCTGCCGGCCGACTTTCTGGGCCGCTCCGCTGACCCTCTCTGGACAGGTGTGTAAGATGTCGGAGGCAAAAGATCAAGTGTTCGGGGTCGCAGCCATGCGATGCATGCGGCAAGCGCAAACAGTCCTGCACATTCGATGAGCGCGACCAGAGGATAGTGGTCACCAGAGGGTAATCTCATCTCACCGTCCGCTGAAGAATTGACGCCCACTTACACGGCCGCTCCAGTTATATCATCGACTTACAGCAGCGGATCGAACGATGGGAACGCAGCAAGAGCACCAATGAGCCGGCGCGGGACTCGATCGAAGGCGGCCAGGCTGCCGACAAAGTCGAGAGTGGTCTGTTATCTCTGGCTTCTCATCCGAAATGAGCAAACTAACTCCTTGCAGGGTCTGAGAGCGATGTAAGCATGGCAGGGGCGGAAGGTCCAGACTCAACCCAACCTTCGAGAGGCACTGAGAAGCAGGACGCCCGCCCCAAGCCGCCCATGGACCCGGTGGCCTCGACGCTCATCAACCCATTGTCTACTGGGCAGTCGGAGTTTATGACAGCGCCGACTGGGAGGATATGTAAGTTATTCCCAAATCACATCGACTTTACGGGTGATTGACAGTCATGCAGTCTACTTGGGAACATCATCCAACTGGTCCTTCACACGTCGCGTCCTCAACATCACGCACCAATACGTCAACAAAACACCTCTACCCACGAGCGCTCTCATTTTCGATGCTGCGGCCTACACCCTCGATTGGGATGGCTACCGCATTGGGGACGGCCCCGAGATGCCGGCCCTCCCAACGCAGGACTATGCCATCTACCTGGTTAACGCAGTGAAGTTTCACTGCAGCCAGATGTTCCACCTCTTCGACGAAGAGTCCTTTATGAAATCCCTCTACCATTTTTACTCAGATCCAAATCCAAGGGCTGATCCTACGGACCTATGGTTCATCCATTTTCTTTTGATACTCGCCTTTGGAAAAGCATTCACGACGAAGGCCAACAGGAGTCGAAAGCCCCCAGGCCACGATTACTTCATCAAAGCTGTGCAGCTTCTTCCAGACCTCAGCGTTTTGCTGAAGCAAGCTGCTCTTTCGACAGAGATTCTCTGCTCCCTTGCGTTGTACATGCAATGCGTCGACTTTCGGCATGCCTCCCACAACTTCATCGGCCAAGCCATTCGCATGGCCTTGGGTGAGGGCATGCACACAGACATGCCGACGCAAGTGCTGGGAGAGGCATACGTCGAGAGGTGTCGAAGGATCTGGTACACAGCACACATTCTAGATCGAGAGATGACGTCCCTCTTCGGTCTTCCTCCTTCAATCCACGATGATTACGTGCAGTGCCAACTGCCAACATATTCTGGTTCATCGCAACGGACTGCGGCTTTGCGGATGAGGATAAAACTGTCCGAGGTTATCGGCAGTATTAACAGAAGTGAGCTGCCAACTCAATTATTATCAGGATTTGGACTAACCAACTTACCCAACAGAGGTGTACGGTCGAGACGGCCGACTCAACAACAAGTTCATGCTGGGGACTAAAAACGTCCTGGAAAGCATGGCCCATGTCGCCAACGACCTTCAACAGTCCTTTGCGCTCCCGCTCGAGAGGGATACAAGTTGCATTTCCAGGACATCGGCGCATTTGCACCTACTACATCATCAGGTAAGTCGTTCTAATAATCATTTTCTGGTCATAATGTAAGCTAACCAAACCTCTTTTCCAGTGCATCGTTCTTGCCACAAGACCATTGCTATTTTGCTTCTTGAAGATACGCTTCGAATCCGAGAGTAAATGCACCGAGCTACTGGGATCATCTCAGACGGTGCGAAATTTGATACAAATGTGCATGGACTCTTCCCAACAAATGATTGCTATCCTCGACTGTCTACAGTCGCAGGGCCTTCTGGGTGAGTTTAACCACAATCGAGTACTTCTGGACTACAACTGACACGGACCTCCAGAAACCTTCCTACCATTTGACTTGGAGGCGATCTTCGTCTCTACGGGAAGTCTATTGCTGGGACCCGCAATCGACCCGCAGGCCTTCGAAGGCGTGGTTCCCTCGCTTGAAAAGGCGTACACTGTTTTTGATGAAATGATCGCCGCTGGGAATGCGGTGGCAAATTTCCAGAAAGCAGAGCTGCAACAACTCGAAATCATGTTGCAACAGTTGACACAAACAAATCCACAGCCAGCAGCAGACGACTCCGGCGCGGCGAATGAGGCGCCATGTCAGCAGCAACAGCAGCAAATAGCTGACGACACGAGCCCCCACGATACTGTGATTTCTTCGTTGGCCACAGATCTGTCACAGAATGAGAGCTATACCTCGTCGCTGCCGGGGAATCTGGAGGAAATGACTTTTGATAGCGGCCTGACCATGACTCAATTGCTGGATATGGCGAATTCGATAGAGCACGAGGATACGGAATGGATGTCACAAACGATTGTCGAGCATAGCATTTGGTAGTCTGGTTGAGCAAACAGCGATTTGGCTTTTTTCCACATGAGGAACACAGCATGCGTGATGTCTGCAGGATCGGACTTTGCATAACGTACGGGATCACATCAAAGTCTCCCAACCCCATCGAGACCTTCCGTTTCTGTCTCTCAGCTGCCTCCTGATTGCTCAACCTCTGTGGGCCTCGGACGCCACGACTCGTTTCGGCTCCTCGGCGACCCCGAGGCTCGGGTACATATGCAGTTCACCAGTGGACGGGCGATCACACCTCATTCTCACCTTGACAGGTTGGAAGTATCAAAGTACACAATGCTATTATTAACTACATATCTTCTACAACTTGGACGCCTTGGGGTTCTGCAGCTCTGCAAACTCCATGGTGTTTCCGAGACGCCAGCTGACAGTGTCTCCCCACTTGCCGTCATCGCCGCCGACGTCCTTCCAGCGCCATTTGTCAACGGGTTGCTTCCCGTCCGCGGCCTCGAGCAGGTTCTTCACCCAGTCTCCGATCAGGGGGATAAGCTTGGCGGCGTGCCCGGAATCACCAGACATCAACACCACCGACGAGCTCGACTTGGGCACATAGTCGATGATAAAGTCCGAGTCATTGGTGTCGGCAAACCAGCAGAGCGACTGCTTCACCAGAGGCCTGTCGGCAAGCTCTGGAAGGGTCTCTCGGAGCAGCTGCCGCACCTTCGCCTGGTCGTGCAGGGGCATGAAGGCGCTCTCGGCATGCGAGGGAGGCAGCGAGACACCGGTCTTGGGATCTGTGTTCACGTACCCACCGCCCATGGGGCACAGCTTGAGGAGGTTGGTCTTCGGGTCAGGCTCGAAGTAGAAGCCGTAGTCGCGGGCATAGGTGACGGGGATGCCTCGCAGGGCGGATGTCTCGTCCTCGGTGAGGTGGACGTGTGCGACGGACCACGACTTGGCGACCACCTGCTTGCCGCACTCTGGCACCAGCCGCGCGGCAGCAGCCCCGACTGCGACGATAACGAGCTTCGCCGGTACATGGCGACCCTGCTGCGTCCTGATACCGGTGGCTTTCCTGCCTCCCGGGGTGTTCTGGTAAACAATCTCCCTCACGCCGCCGTGCTGGCCGAGGAAGTACTTGACGCCTCGTACCTGCGTCGCCTTGTACAGGGCGATCAGGGCGTTCCCGGAATGGACGTAACCATCAAACGTGTTGAGATAGCCCTTCCATCCGGAACAGTGTCCGGCCTTGTACTGCCAGACGTTCTCCTGAATGTCCTTGCCACCTTCGATTGGGATAACATGCTTAGCCAAGACCGGGTTGATTTCCGCGGCCTTTTGGAATCTCTTGAGCGTCTCAATGGCCCTGTCAGGGGCCTTACCCGAGACACAGTGAAGAAAGCCGACCTGGTGGAAATACGGCGCAAAAAGTGGCGTCTTCCAGGCCTTGATAGCTTCCTATTGCTCGAGAGTAAGCCTTTTAGTGTATCAGCTCATTTCGGAGGATGCAACTTACGAGGGTAAGATCGGTGTAGAACGGGTCCTCATATTCCGCCCTCAGGATCTTGTTGATGTCATTGGCGGCAGAGTCTTGCGGGGGTATTGTCTCGTGCTTGTCGTAAACAGAAATATCCGTGTATCCCGCCAGGGTGAGGTGATAGGCCGTTGAGAGGCCGAAGGCGCCGGCGCCGACGATGATGATAGGATCGGACTTGCTGATACCCATGGTGATAGTTCTGAGAGACACGGATTGAAGCTGATGTACTAGACTCCAAGGGAATCTTTGCTACGAGTGAAATTTGCTCCTTATGATGTATGTAACGTCCAGCGGCCGTCTAAGCCGTTCAGTCCACCGCCGGTTCCGTTCGGGAAATGGACCGGCTTCGGACCCATGGTTGCGGGTGTTGCGGTGAAGCTATTCCCGGACAATGCGGGGGACCGAGTGACGGGCCAACGTGATCTTACGACGCTGACCACGTCGGCTGGCCTCCCATGCGGCGGTCGAGACCACGCTTATCGAACCGGTTGCTCGAGACGGGTGCTCAACCGCATATCTTCACAATCGTCATGAACACAGTCGGAAGCACTTCCGACTTGTTGAAATCATCGTCATTGGCTGAACGGGCCGATGTGGGGCTGGAGTATCGGCATCGGGACCCTCACCCGTGTTTTCGTTGTCCAAGGCCCTCTTCCCCAGACCCCAGACACGAGGACCAGGTGTTTGCCTGGAGATGGGATCACGGTACGTACTGTTGAATCCGGAGACAAGCGATGGCAGAGTTCGGTCCGCGTGGTCCTTTGCAGAAGACAGCAATTACCAGGCAATAGAGACGAACATTCCGGAGGCAGTTCTTCAGCAAACGAAGGCTGCATCTGTTGGTGTGGTCCCTGTCGCCCAACAAGGCTTAACTAACGCATAACCGCGGGCTATTTTCATCTGTAGTTTACATGACTCTTCGGCATAAACGTGCTGCCAATGACAATTTGACCGACTACAGCGTGTTTACCCTGCCCTGCACAACACCCGAATAAGTAAGTCGACAGTCGCATCAGCCCAGTTGAAACTTGCAGAATGGAGCATTATGAAACTCGAGGGTGATGCTTGCGATGGGTCGGTAATCATCAATGTCATTGGACTACTGAATAACTCTCTAAATTACATATTTCGCCTATCCCGAATGCACATGCCACCAGGCCCCGTCACGCCATTTTTTTTCGACCACCCGTGCGCGATTTTTATTTGTTGCTGGGGTACTCGAAGTCGGTCAGGGGGAAGAACTCCTCCTTGATCAACCTCGGGCTCGTGAAGCGTCTCATGACGTCAGCGCTGCCGGCCTTGTCGTTGGTTCCGGAGCTACGGGCGCCACCGAAGGACTGTTGGCCGATAAGGGCGGCGGTGGTCTTGCAGTCTGGAGAAGAAATGAGTTAATACTTGGAGGAATGCGGTCAAGCATGGGAAGGTTGGACTTACTGATGTAGAAGTTGCCGGCAGAGTAGCGCAGGGTGTCCTCGGCCTCGCGGATGGCGGTGCGGTCCTTGGCGAACACGGCGCCGGTGAGGGCGAAGCCGCCGCCACCCTGGTCGACCTTCTTGAGAGTGGAGGACCACTCGGCGTCGGGGTAGATGTTGACGGCCAGGACAGGGCCGAAAATCTCTTCGTTGAAGAGACGGTGCTCAGGGGAGTCGGCGAGGTAGACAGTCGGGTTGACGTAGTATCCGTTGGAGCCGTCGTAGGTGCCGCCGACGAGCAGCTTCAGCGAGGGGTCCTTGTTGCTCTCGTCGATGATGCGCTTGATCTTCTCGAACGAGCGGTCGTGGATGACGGGGCCCATGAAGGCGTTGAGGTTGCCGTCGGGGCTGCCGATGGTGATCTTCTTGACGTTCTCGGTCAACTTGGACAGGAACTCGTCGGCGCGGGACTGGGGGATGTAGACGCGGGATGTCGCAGAGCACTTCTGGCCCTGGTACTCGAAGGCGCCGCGGAGGGTGTGGAGAGCGGCGCTGTCGATGTCGGCGGAGGGGTGGATGAGGTGGAAGTTCTTGCCGCTAGTCTCGCCGACGATCTTGGGGAAGTCGCGGTACGTCTTCTTGCCGATACCCTCGCCGATCTTGGCGTACAGGGAGCGGAAGACGTCTGAGGAGCCGACGAAGTTCAGGCCGGCGAACTCGCGGTGCTTGAGGACGACATCGGTGACCTCCTCGGCGTCACCGGGGACAAACTGGATAACGTTGGGAGGGAGACCGGCCTCGAGGAGGATGTTGTAGACAAGCTGGCTGGCGTAGATGTTGCTGGGCGAAGGCTTCCAGAGCACAACGTTGCCCAAGAGCGCGGGACCGGAAATCAGGTTGCCACCAATTGCGGTGAAGTTAAAGGGGGAAACGGCGTAAACGAATCCCTCAAGAGGGCGCCACTCCAGACGACTAAATATCAGTTAGTTTTGACAGTCTGGCGGTTGATGAATCCTAAGTCTCTTACCTCCACATGCCGTCGGATCCACGCTCAGGCTGCTTCTCCAGAATCTCAGCAGCAAAGTTGCAGTTAAGTCTGAAGAAGTCGGCCAACTCCGCAGCCGCGTCGATCTCTCCCTGCCACATGTTCTTGCCCTGGCCGAGCATAGTAGCGGCAATAAGCTCATATCTGTACTTGGTGACGACCAGCTCGGCGGCCTTCAGGAAAATCGCCGCCCTGTCGACGAAAGGTGTGTTCTCCCAGCTCTTCTTAGCCTCCAGCGCAGAGTCGATAGCGGCAGCAACCTGCTCCTTGGACGCGAGAGGGAAGTTGGAGAACTTCTTTCCGTGCGCATGGGGCATAACGGTGTCGAAAGACTTGGAGGCGGAGTGAACCTGGCCATTGTAGAAAAGGTCGCTGCGTGCGGGGAGTTCAGACTTGAGCTTGTTCAGGGCCTCCTCCAACTTGGCGCGCTCAGGCGAGCCTTTCCTGTATTCGGGCTGTGTCGATTATTAGCTATCTGCTCAGGCGTTGCTTTGGGCCACTGAGAAACTTACGTTAGGCTCATTTCTGGGGTCTGGTAGTCTGAATGGCACGGTGGCCTTAGTTCTTGTTTGTTGCAGGCCGACGGGAACTGCGAAAGGACGGAGGGCGCCCCTCATAGACCGCGCGGGCCTTGCGATGACGCTGGCGACTTGCATTGTCGAGTATGTGATATAAAAATGTATGAGGATCGCGGTGAGGGGGCGACAAGGTTCGTGATACCAGACTAATGATAATTCGCAAGTACGACAAGCTGGTCCTCTAAAGCTGATTGGAATACTGAAGATATACCACCTCCCATACTTTCGCCGTCTGAGAGCTCTATTTGATAGCAATAATGCCGGCCATGCTCCCGACTGTCGTCGAGTGCCATTGACCAATCACATCTGATATCGATGTCATTCCATACGTGATGCCGAGATCGGACGGGGCGGATCTCCGAGCGGGGTGCTCGACGGGCACCCAGCCGATATCTTTACATGCAGCTTCCCCGCCGTACGGCGCTTGTGTTACATTTCCCCGCAAACACCGGGGGCTGGGATCTTGAATCAGCTCCGGCGTCTTGTGACGCCCGATTACAGGCCGATGATAGCCATCGTATCGTGAGCCGGCCTCGTGAGACCGGCTGTCAGAGAGGGATCGCTTGCCCAGCCGCCGATGTACCAACTTGTTACTCAGTATCTTTCATACTTGCGCTCTTGATCTGTACAAAGCTTGCAGATAAATTCAATCAACTAAGTAAAAAGTCCTCCAGCCGTATAATTCTTAGTCACATGAATGGACCAACTGTAGAGTTCGTCTTAAGTTGAACGGTGCGGTTGGTGTTGCTTGGTAGACCATGAGCATCGATATCATGAAATGCGGATCCATAGAGGTGTTCGCAGATAAGTAGCACATTGCCCACGTCCCGTGGGATGAACCGCCTGAAGCATAAAGCATATCCGACCTGCGAACGTCAGAATCTCGACCAATGACACACACAGAGGCCAAGAAGGGCGCGGCACACGACCCTTGCCCTCTCCTGGGTCAGTTGACAGGGGACCTCACAGCCGGGGCCTTCTCCGCAATATTGATCTCCCCGGCCGTCACGATACTAGATCGGTAAGACACACAGATCATGGACCCTGAAATCTTTGACTAACAAAAAGCAAGGGCGGTGGTGGAGAGAACCTCGACCGGACGGCCCCTCATCCGAGGTCTCCGCTCGCAGCTATCGTCCGCCCTCCGCCACCCACGGGCCTTCTTCCTGGGCAAGCCGCTGGGCATAGTCTGGACCCTGTACGCAGCGACGTACGTCACAGCGAACGCCGCGACGACGCTGGCGGAGAGGTACGACGGAGCCGCAGCCGTGAGCACGGCGACCTTCGCGTCCACGTTCCTCGTCAACGTACCCCTCGGCGTGTGGAAGGACCTCCGCTTCGCTGAGATCTTTGGGTCCGCCGCTGCTTCCGGGGCGACGGCTGTGTCGACGACGCCGCGAGTTCTCCCGAGGGCCGCGACGGCGACGTTCTTGGTGAGAGATGCCGTGACGATCTTTGGGTCGTTTACGCTCCCGACGTGGGTATCGGCTGGTATCCCGGACAGCGTGACGGCTTCTCCACATGCCAAGGCGACTATCACGCAGCTGACCGTGCCGGTGATGTCTCAGCTGGTGGCGTCTCCAATACACTTGATCGCGTTGGACTACTACGAGAGGCAGGGGAAGATGCCATTCTCCAACCGGGTTGCGAAAACGAAGGAGCATGTGCCATCGACGATAGTCATGCGGTGCATCAGGATTATTCCTGCATTCAGTATTGGCTGCGTGGCCAACTTAGAGTTTAGGTCCTTTTTCCATAATTGGATAGGTTCAATGGTAGAATAGAATATGCATTTCTTGGCTACATGAAACTGCTGGACCAATCCAGGTTGATGAGATGTTGATGAAAAGTCGATGCCATGGATGGTTGCTGTTTGGGCTAGAAGACTACATCTCTCGACTATGCATTTGCAGGAAACAAGCAAAGTAAATGTTCAGAAGATGTTCTTATTTAGCATCGATTCTGTATTTCTATGAACGTCTCGTGTCGTTGAGATGAGGCGTCGTCTCCATCAATCGAGCTATGGTGACAGCCTCTCTGAGCGCCTTGCCAACGTGACCTCTAACTGCTCCCTCCTCCAAGACCATCAGACCTCCAATTGTGCATCCCTCAGGTGAGGTGCCCTGGTCTCTAAGCAAAGACGGATGAAGCCCGTTCTGCATCAAAGTTGCACTCCCAAGCATGGATTGAAAGATCATCGTAGAGGCCAAGTTTCTAGGCACGCCCACCGCAACCGCAGCATCAATCATCGCGTCACAGATGACGCCCCAGAAAGCGGGTGTTGACCCTCCAACGGCCGTCGTTGCGTTCATCAACTTGGGAGCAATCTTCACCGCCTTTCCAATCTTCTCGAAAATTGCCTCCGTGAGCTCCATGTAGGGGGCTGGGACCGGAGGGTCCGAGATCTCGATTGCGGTGAGAGACTGAGAGACCATGGCGGCAATGTTGGGAAGGGTTCGCACAACCCAGGCTCGACCCTCGGTGTTATCGGCGGTTGTCTCGCTTCCGTAGAGAGTCGACTCTAACTTCCCTCTGGTCCACCCAGCAGCAACACTGATTAGGAGCTTGTCCTTCAGTGCATCCGCTGTGCCCGGCTGGGAAAGAACAGACTCCACGTCGCCAGGGTCAACACCAAGAATGACAACTTGAGATGCTTTCAAGGCGGCAATATTATCGCCCCTCCAGACCTTAAGCTTATCTCCCGCATCGGGAAACCTGTTCTTCAAAGCGCTCTCTGACTGCTCACTTCGGACACAGGCAATGAATTTGGTGATGGGAAGCGTATAACTCTCACTGTCTGAGGCATCATACAGTGCCTTGAGAATTGGGATCCCAAGATTCCCTAATAGTAAATGTCAATGTCTGGTAGATTGCTTCATGGTGGAAACATTGGCTTACCGCAGCCCAAGATGCAAAGAGTAACGTCTTTCAAATCCGCCATGGTGTTCGGCTGTTGCTGTGCCAAATTCTTGATTGATGATGGCTCAGCGAGCAGTTTGACCAGAGTCACAGTGATAACAGAAGGCAAGGGTCAAACTTCAAATCCTCGCCAACACATCGAGATTTGAGTTTTGTCATTCACGACTATCACAAGCCACCCTAACTTCCCCTCATCAGAGGCAACACGCTCGGGAGCCTCCCGGCCCAAGGATGTGGGGGAAGTGGAGAAGCAACGGGAGCACTCCCGGTCGTGCTACACAACTCAAAGATAGCATTCCAAAGATAGTCACAAGGCAACAGTGATCCACTTGATCTGTCAAAAATCTCCGATTAACGAAAAAAGAGGGACATGTCTTTTATCTTCAGCCAACAGGCCGAGACCGGAAGGATCTAGATCGCAACCGTCTGCCCAGCTCCGCCTTGAGCGCTGCATACTCGTCCACCGTCCTCGAGACCGCATCCCTGTTCTCCACCGCTCTCCGCAAAAGATACGCCACGCACTCTCCCATGGTTCCCCACGTCGAGCACTTCCACACCTGCGGCGACGGGTCCTGGCCGTCCTTCAGCTGCAGCAACGCAAAGCTGACTTCATCCGACATGCCCTGGAGCTGCGCGAAACCGACCGGCACCGTCGGGAGGCCATCCTTCATTCTTTGTTGGTGCAGCTTGTGGGCCGTGACGACGCTGTGCTTATTGTGGCTGGCGAGGAACAGATTCAGGGACGGGAACGGCTTGCCTCCCGGTGCACCGTACTCCCCAATCTGCCGCCTGAGGGCTCCCTGGGCAATCATGTTGTAGGCGTCGTCTGTGTCCTGCTTCGTATCGTGAATCAGAGATCGCTCGTCCGAGCCGATGTAAGCGCCTCTGACGAGCTTCAAGCCAAGAGTGAAGCCTTCGTTGTTTGCAAGCTCAAGATGCTTGGCGAGTGTCGCCGGGGTGCTCTTCAAGTATGCTTGGTAGGTCTGGTAGATGGTTGCGTAGCCGTCGCGGTTGTACTTGCGCATCAGTTCGAGACCAGCTCTGAAGATGCCCCACTGGAACTTTTGAGACTCGGCATCAAGCAGGAGACGGATGCCCCTCTCCTTGCAGCGGATAGAGACCTCGTCGAGAGCGTCCATCATTTGCTGAGGAGGCAGCTTGTCTGCTGCAAAAGCAGCAGTAACTCTTGGTCCACCGCCAGTAAGTCTGTTTTTGCAATGTTAGCTGTTTTTCTTCGAAAGAGTAAAATCCAGAAGATGATGGGAACTCACTTTAACGCCAGCTGGTCACCCTCGCCGAGCAAGTCCACTGTCTCCAACGCCCCTTTCCTCCATACTTCAATGTTGGAGCAGTTCCCTGACTTTGTGTCCTTTTCCGCATCGATACCGAGGCCGTGCTCGGTGCCGGTCTTGTGATCAAAAACAGTCTCCTTCGCATACGTGAGAATTGTGCCGCGGAAGCCCATAAATCTCAGATGCCGCATAGTGTCCTTTGTCTCTGCTGGTGACTCTCCTGCACAGAATTGCCTGTAGAAGAGTGTCTTCAGGACGGAGTGTAGTACGGGGTTTCGGTCGACATCAAACAGGAGGCTTCTGTTTGGTCTTGTGAGGAAGGAGAGAACTGATAGAGATGGGCCAAGGAGGTATGGCTTGGAGGATATCGCAGAGACCAGTAGTGATCTCAAAAGGACTGGTGTTGGGAGGGCTGATAGTGTGGCGGGCTTGCTTGGGGAGAGCGTCTTCTCAGCAACTAGAGAGGTGGCAGAGGCATGCCTTACCCTCATAGGGGTCAAGACTTGTCTCCTTGAGAAGGCGATAGAGGCATGGCGGCTGGAACGAGTCCATGTGTTGATAATTGGTGCGCGGGAAGACATCGCAAAGACAAATTCTCGCTGATAATTTGGGTATACTGACTAGACTTGCAACTTCTTGGTTCAAAGAAGGTGCGCCTTCTTTATCATAAAGTGTATCGTGACAACCCGACAACCCAGCCATCCGATTCGGAACTCCTCATCCATTACGAACACATGATCACTACCCCCCCCTTCTCTTACACGTCCGCCGGTACCCAATGCGTATACTCACTGATCCAGGAAACCCGAGCCTTGACCAGGGCGGTAGTTGGGCTGCCAGCTTATCGATACCCCGCTCTTTAACGCGGGGTAAGATAGCCCATCTGTCTTGGGTCTTCGTATCACAAGATAGGGGTGCATGCAGCATGATGCCAAACGCTGAGCTGAGATCTAGACCCCCAAAACCTATCGGCCCCTAAATCCGATGGTCTTGAGTGTGGGGTAAGCCGATGTTTGGGTGTGGCCGGTAGCGCCTCCGTTGGTGCTGGGCACGACCGGGAGACGAGACCGATGAGTATCTGGAAGTATCTTCCGTTGTCAGTTGACTCGGATCTGAGATACTGCAAGCGGCGCAGCAGCAGGGTCCAAGGCTTATCTCGATCCTTCCGTGACGAATTCAGTAAAGAAAGGGATTGCTTTGTTGTTGTTTAGTCACGAATATCACTTAGACCGGGCCGGCATAGAGACTATAGTTCGATGCATGATTCAGTGTGTATGAACATGGTCTGTTCCGACAACGGCGACTGACAGGGGTTTCGAGTTGATAAGCCATGCCTCTAAGTTGGTTGTCTAAGGCATTCTCTTACCACCTCTGGTTGCCTGTCCTACTTCTGAATTTGTCTTGTCCTCTGCATACCTCTTGTACACATCAATGTAAGCGTCTCTGTCGCTCAGAGTGTCTTTGATGGTTTGTTTCCCTTCAACAGCATCATACCATTGGCGCCAGCGCTTCCAAACCGCATCATCTTCGCCACCCTTTCCTTCTTGTGGCAATCCAAGGCCACCAGGTTTGTAGTGATCGAACAGAAACAAGCGCATCGCCCATGGTGCCAGCATAATGTCAACGAGGCCAAACGCCTTCCCCAAGAACCAAGGGCCTTCAGGGTCAAGCTCTCTAGCGAAGGTTTTGAGATGACCCAGGAACTCGTTGCGGGCTTCGTCGATGGTGAATTCCTTCTCAGGAGTATGCTGGATGAACTTGTAGAAGGCCGGCACAATGCGCGAGTTGATGTGATCGATCCACAGTCGGCATCTCGCCCGTTCGTAAGGTTCCTCCGGGAGAAGATGCGGTCCGTAGTTGTTGCCCGCATAAGCCTCTTCTAGGTACTCGCAGAGAACCGTGCTGTCGTACAGCGGCTTCTGCTCGTTGCCCTTTACATCAACCGGGACAGCCAAAGTCGGCACTAGTCCGCGTGGGTTCAACCTGAGGAACTCCGGATCTTTCTTGTAAGGGTTGATCTCGATGTACTGGTATGGAATCTGCTTCTCATGCAGCACAATCCATGTGCGCTGCACAAATGGGCAGAACCAGCCAGCGTAGAGTTTCAGTGCATGTTCGTCTGAATGCTTGGCGACGAGTTGGGCGGCTGCACCTGTGGCGTTCGGGTAGATTGACGTGTCAACGCTCGGCATCTTTACTGATGTCCTGTTCCTCAAATTTCGTTATCAGTTGAGATGCGTTGATGTCTATGAAGAGTTTCGTCCCCGTGTAATGAAGAGGAGTTGGTTATGGTGCAGTGTATGACGTGACACCAACATGACGTGATGGTGATTTGGCACCGAATTAGTGGGGGCCGAGCGGCAGCTGTCGGCCCAGTGTCGGCTCCGACAGATACAGTCTGATCCACTATCGCCCAAATAGCACAACGTTGTATAATCAAGACTTACCGTCCGTGACATGTTGTTGTCGCAAGATGGTTACAATCAATAGCAGAACAGCTCCTAGTAGTAATTACAGCTCAATATGAGAGCTAGCTACAACAGTACCTTAGCCTATCTAACAAGAGTACATCTAAGGGCCTACTGTGTATAGTAGGCTAGGTAGTCTATGCAACTGCTGGCCTATTGACTGACGTGATGTGGCTTACTAGACTCAGTTGACTGGTACAACTTCGTCATTGTCTATCTTCTGCGCAACTTCGGTGTATCTCCATCGGCTGAAGTACGCCGGTGTCTTGCCCTCCCCACCATTGTTCGTTGCATATGCTCCGACGATTGTGCCTGTAGAAAGAAGTATCAGTATACCGACTATAAGGTCAAACAAGAAGCAGCTGTACTCACCAGTGAATGGACCGCTACCTCCAGAGACGATCAAACCACTTGCAGATCCGATTTGAACGTACTCTTCGGGCTTAGAGATTGGAGCAGCGCCGAAAACGTACTCAGAGTCGCTAACAGCCGATGCGAATAAACGCACCGGACCAGACCGCCAGGCTTTGGGAACTGGGAGAACTACCTCATCTGGTACGGTGATGTTGGGTTTGCCAGATGCTTCCACACGGAATCTAAAGTGCGGAACCAAAGTTGTGTTGGAGCAGCCTGGCAAGTTGACGATTCCAAGATCAATGTGCTGAACCTGGGTCAGGAACACCGTGACGCCTGCCTCTTCCTCTTCGACCTCCGGCTTAAAGTCAACATCGACGGTGTAGTTGAACAATGTGGCACTCTGTTTGCGTGCGATGAAGCCGAGGCCATCCTCTTGTAGATTGAAGTCTGGTGTTCCCGAGAGATTGACGGGCGAAGGCGATATTCCAAGTGTGTTCGGGTGTCCATCGGAAGAAATGGAAAAGAGGGACTCTTTCGGAGGGCGCCAAAAGACGAAGTGCCTGGGGAGAGCTGAGCCGGGTGCAAAGTCGACGACATCGGGCTCATCTGCCCAATGTCCATCCCCTGGAATATTCTTGTTTGTAGGAGGTAGTGGTCCGGTCATTGTTCCTCGCACCTTATCCAAGACTGGCCACTCACCCTCATCCCAAGTGACGGCGAAAAGGACCGTCTCTCGACCCATAGGGTAGATCTCCCATGCTGGTCCAGATCTAGTCGCAAGAGCCACGCCCCACCAATTTCCAGCCGCATCCTGAAAGAGGTCGGCATGTCCAACCGTCTGGAAATACTCGTTTGTGTTTTTGGCAGTGAGGATCGGGTTACCTTCAAAACCCTCATAAGGCCCTCCGATCTCCTTTCCGCGAGCAATAGTGACGGAGTGATTTGTCTCTGTACCACCCTCTCCGATCAACAGGTAGTAGTAGCCATCCTTGCTGTACAAATGAGGACCCTCCGGATTGCGGTCTCCAGTTCCGTTCCAGACCTTGAGTGGTTCCGTCGCAGAGCCTGTCGTGAGATCAATCTCACTGATGTAGATTCCCGCCGCAACGGACATATACACCTTGCCAGAATCCCAGAATATGTCCGGATCAATGTCGTTGGCCGGGTTCTCGATGTGGACGGGACCAGTCCAAGCGGAGTCGTCGTACGGGTCCTTGGTCGTGAACAAGAGAATCTTCGGCCCCCACCCTTCGAACCACGAGACGTATGATGTGATCAGGTAGAAGGTTCCCTCATGATATCTAATAGTTGATGCCCAGATGCCCTCTGACTGTCCCGAGTTTCTGTAGAGTTCCGGCAACTGGTCCGCCTTCGTCAAGGCGTTGCTCGCATGCTTCCAGTTTACCAAGTCTTTGCTCGCGTAGACGGGCACACCAGGGAAGGCCAAGAAAGACGACGTCGTGCAGAAAAAGGTATCGTCTAGCTCTTTGACGAATGTGCAACTGGGATCCGAGTTCCAACCTGGCAAGATTGGATTGTGGAAGGTCTGATTGACCTCCGCCTGGCCGTGGGTCGCCAGCGTGACTACGAACAGCCCTGCGAGGCTGGAGAATCGCATTGAGTTGAGATTGGAAACGTAGGCTGTGATCTATGTCTTTAAACCTATCAAATACTTTTTCAACACCTACTTAGCTATTGCTGCATGATCCGTCATTTAAATACGTTAGCTATCTCACCATGGTCCATTGAGTCGCTCCAATGAGACGCTGGATATGCCGCTCAAAGTACCGCTTGTCGGTTATCTTTCTAAGTACATACGAACCCGAAAACGAGACAAGAAGATATTCCGCCAATTCCACCGCCAAACCGGCAAAACTTCGACGGCAGCACATGGTTGGCAAGCGGGGTTGTGGGTGAAATGGTCGGAAAATCGATCGAAACCCCGCATTCACCCCCGGAAAACCCGCCGGATGGCGTGCCGCTGGACCGTCGCGTACCGGAATGCCACCCAATGACCTCATCCATCGCACTTAATGTCCGCCTACTCGGATCTAAGCGACCTTCGAATGTTTATGGAAACTCGCATTTTCGACGAAGAGGTTGTATGTACAGTGACCGACAAACCCATTGTCGCTCCTGTTTAGACCAGGCTTAATGAGAGCACCAATCAACCCAAAGTTCCAAAATGAGTTGTTTGTCGTCTCATCGAAGCGACCTTTTGAGCGCCATAAGTATGCTTTGCCCAATCACTGTAAGTAGATGATTCAATTGTGTCAACGTCAATAACCATAGTTGAATGGTTGTCTTCTCATGACCGGATTCTATTTAGAGTTCTTTTCCGCTAAAAGTACACCATCGTCCGATCCCCCACACGCCGATCGGGACTGTCCGCTGTTGCATCTCGCAGTATTGAGAAAGAGACAATCTGGCTGATCTTAGGCATCACTCTCGTCTTTGCGATGGTTCTAACAAAGCTGGTGGACAGTTTCGCCTTCTTGAGTCCTTCAACGTAATGCTTGGCTTTTCTCTTCATCCGCAGATTCTGCATATTCACCAAGCAGTCTTCGTAGCGCGAAACAGCTAACATTGTCGGTCACTAATCGTATTTCATTCTACTGAATCAATGATCGTGGTCGACGAGGTTACATGAATCAGCCGTGGGCCAATCATATGCCTGTCTGTTGATACGTCTCTATCTCATGCACATCTGAATCAACAAACACTTCTCAATTGGAAGCGAACAAATGCACTCTCATAACGGCGGATGCAGCCTATCACGGGGGAGAGATTTGCAAGTAACGTTCCAAATGCCTCTTATTTGCTGCCAGCCGGTTACACAAGGTATGACGCGTCCAAATCCCATAATCCCAGTAAGCCGTCAGACGATGACACCTGCGTCTTAAATGTGGAAGAAATCCCTGGGAAGTGCTCAAGACCTTGCTCACCGCTCCATTGACACACGCAAGCCGCTTAATTCGCCACCGAATCGAGTGCTTTGCCGCTTCCTAAGGGAATGTCCTGTCTAGGAGTCTTCATCTCAATAACTCAAGCAATCAATTTTGATTAGCGGCGGTGACGGTCCATGATCTCATTACAATGTAAATGGTGTTGTCCACGATATCATCGCCAAATCACATGTGGCTCAATAGTCACACAACATGCTAGCGACTCAGGTCCCACAACGCCGTGTTCGCTTTGAACTGCCAAGGATGACCTAGCCGCTGCCCTGCGTAAATTGCAGCTATGCTGCGAGGCTCGTAACGACGGCACTTGCTGGAAGGGTGCGACGTACGTGCGGAGAAATGCCACGGGATCTACCATCCGAGCTCGTCCCGCGTTTGAATATGGTTCCTGCATGCATGAATGTTGGTAAATCGAGTGACGGGATTGGTCCGGAGTGACTGAATACACCGAAACGCCCATCCCAAGAGCCTATCCTCCCTGTGCATTGAGAGGCCCATCCCATCTACAGACGAATTAGGTGCAGTTCCGTGAGGCAAAGGGGTGTTTGTTGGGAGACTTGGGCGAACACGCGTTCGCTATATAATTTCTCGAGAGTTTTCACCTTCATCACTATTCAGGCGGGGTCGCTACACATTGCACGCAGATACTCACGATGTTGAAAGCAGCCGATCTCACGGGCGCGCTCGCGGAGCACTATGCACCGATCTTGAAAATCATTCTCGTCACGGTAAGTGACGCAATTGAATGGCATTGAGAGGCTGATTGGGGAGCTCTCTAACCAGCTGTTAACAGGCTGTCCTTTGGCAATTGCTTCAAGCAGGATACAACGTCTTCTTCCATCCCCTCCGCGACTATCCTGGACCTCTACTGCAGCGTGCTAGTTCTTTGCCCTGGGCGTTCCAAAATGCGATTGGCAAACAGGCTTTCCTCACTCAAAAGCTGCATGACCGGTACGGGCCCGTTGTTCGGATCAGCCCGAACCACTTGTCCTTCACGCAGCCAGACGCATGGAAGGAGATTTACGGTTTCCAGCCCAGCAGCAAGGGGTCAACTGAGATGAACAAATCCAAAATCTTCTCAGAGACCGTAGAAGAACTACCGAAAAGCATCATCAATGCCGATCGAGAGGAGCATCAGCGACTGCGACGAGCGCTGGCTCACGGCTTCTCGGACGCCTCCATGAGAGAGCAGGAGGGCATGATCATCAAATACATTGACAAGCTCTCTGATAGATTGAAGGAGTTCGCCGATGACGGCACAAGCCCTCAAAACATGGCGGGCTGGTATAACTGGACAACCTTCGACGTTGCGGGCGACCTCATCTTTGGGCAGTCGTTCCAATGTCTCGAACGCGCTGACTATCATCCATGGGTGGCCTTCATTTTCGGAGCGATTCGCTTCGGCTCGGTCATGACTTCTATCAAGTACATCGGCTTGAACTTTGTTGTGCAAGCCTTGTTCAAGATGGGTGGAATGAAGGCGATGAGCCAAGTGAGGGAGAACACCGATGAGATGATGCAGAACAGAATGGGCATGACTGACGATCGAAATGATTTGTTTGAGGGGCTTTTGAAGAGGAGAAAAGAATGGGTAAGTGTTGTTTTGACTCGTCGATTATATGAGACAGAAACTGACCGATTACTTACCCAAAGAATTTGTCTTTCGACCAACTCTCTGCGAACGCACTCATTCTCGTCCTAGCAGGTTCAGAGACAACCGCGACCACCCTGTCGGGCACCACATATCTTCTACTTACTCACCCGGAAGTATACGAGAAGCTGAAGAAGGAAGTTCGATCTGCCTTCAAAGATTCAAGCGAGATCAACATTGGCTCAGTCAGCAAGCTGTCGTACATGTTAGCGGTACTTAACGAGTCTCTCAGACTTTATCCGCCAGTGACGTCAGGCATCATCCGAGAGGCGCCAGAGGGCGGGTGTCGAATTGGTGGACAACACATCCCTGAAGGCGTAAGAAATTCGAACATCAGTCAAAGTCATAGACGGCTAACATCAGTCAGACACTCGTTGAGATTCAACAGTGGTCCTCAAACCACAGTCCCGATAACTGGCCCGATCCATGGAAGTTTGATCCTGAGCGCTTTTTGGAGAGCGAGAAAACGAATGTAAACCGGCTTGACTCCTTACAGGCGTTTAGCGTGGGACCTCGCAACTGTATCGGCCGCAAGTAAGTGTCACTCTATGCTTTCGAACGCAGTACTTTTACTAAGGATTATGTAGTCTGGCATATTCCGAAATGAGAATGGTTCTGGCCAGGGTCATCTTCGACTTCGACATGGCTTCAGCCCCAGGCAACGGGGATTGGATCAAGCGGCAAAGAGCTTATGGACTTTGGGATCGAGTCCCTCTCAACGTGTACCTGAAGCCGGTCGCACGTTGAGAAAAGTCTGAAGTCACGATAAGACAAAAGATTCTTGAGTAGAGACTGGGAGAGTTGCGCTTTTTTCTATATGAGACTAGTAAGCTTCAAAAGTGAATTTGGTACATTACAGACTCCACAGGATATGTCTAATGCGCGTGATGTTCCCCTGCGCCATCCCAAAAGAACGAGGCCGCGTCCGTGTTGAGGAGCACGTTCCCATCGAACCCATCGAACCCAGAGTTATGAAGCCCAGGAAACAAGGTGGAGTCTGCTGTGGCGGTTGAAAACGGCTCCGGAAAGGACTCGGCCTTGCTTGCTGGGAAGTTGCCGCTGCCCCTGAGTCTCTCAATAACAACCGGTGTCTCGATGCTCTGGCCAACATTGCGGAACGCCAGCTCGCGTCTTTGCCATCCAGCCAGCAGGTTCTCCGCACGCTGCACGTTCTCTCGTTTGCTGAGATCATAGAGCTCCGGATGGTAAAAGAAGACTCTGTCAATAGCCTTCCACGCCCTATCGACCAAAGTTCCCACAGGCTGCCACTGTAACAACTCGATCATGACAGAAAACGCGTCTGCTTGGAGGTGAAGTTTGGGGTACCACCGGAACCGGTCGTCAATGGTATCGTACCAGTTCAGATCACTCTCGAAGTGGATGACCCAGAGCCTGAATAACGATTGCTGGCCAGCTAGACTATCCGCGTCCTCCTTCCAGGGTTCTCGAGCGTGGGCGATCATGTCGCGCATCCGCTGGGCCACGAGAGGTCGAAGCTTGCAGGCCAAGACGTGGATCCCTCCAATGGTCGGGTTGCAATATCGCTTCTCAGCCACGATGAGTCGTTCTTCAAGCTGGTCTACTATCACACGGTACTTGTCCAGGGATTGTGGTCCTTCAATGGCCTTTGATCTATCCGCATTCAGGTCTCCCTGGCCTAAGACGACAGATTCGAATTCCGGGACAGGATTCTCGCAGAAGAAATGCCTCGACTCGTACAGCATTAGACAGAATGCCATTTCTGTGGCGCCTTCTCGGGACCTTAAAGGCTCTAAGGAACCAGGCAGCAGGTCCGCGTCGTTGAGATTACTCGGGAGCTTCGTGTCCCAATTTGGCGGCAGTAGAGTATCGCAGAATCCTGCGAGAACGGCGTATTTGGTCTCGAGCATGATGATTTGCCACCATATCCGTCTACGCATCTCGGTCTCGAAGGGTGTAAGGCCGATTAGCTCTCCGTCGCGATGGAGTCCCATTCTCTGAGCTATCCTGACGAGCATCCCTGTCAGGATCCATGACGCGTGGCGATCGAATTGTCCCTGTAGTGATACCTAGTGTGATGTTAGTGAAGAACATCCTCCGTTGTCTTCAAACCACTTACCAAGTATAAGACTAGACATTGTAATATGGTAAGGTTGTATTTACGAAGAAAGTCGACTTTCGATACTGCCTTTTTCAGAGCAAGGCTAGCTTTTCTTAGAGCTGCGTTCTTCGGAACATTTAGAATCTGTTCAGATTCGGCCTCGGATAAAGCCATGATTGCTAGGACGTTAATGGAACAGAGTAAGGCCTCAAAATCAGGGGCCACATTGCCGTGATCTGTTGCAGCTTCGAACACAAGAGGCTCTAGACTTGGAACGTGAATGACTTTAGTCATCGGATTCACACGTTCCAAGAAGACCTGCCATAAGCGAAGCATCTCTACCGCGCCGAGGGCCAGGATGTCAAAGTCCATGGACTCACGGCTGTCCAAGCTGCCATCCTCAGTAGTGTTCGCTACTGAAGGGGTGTTTGAGGCTCCGGTACTCTCATCGGGCTGATCATTCAGACTGAGCTTCGAGAATTGCAACTGCGACTACATGAGACCTGCGCAACTCATCACTTCGCGAAAGGGAGCTCACATGGTCCACGACATTGAAACGGAGGGGGCTGTCCATAAACGTACGACGTCCCTCATCAACAACAATCTTGCCCGTGGGCCTCTGATCCGGCTGCTTGCGGGCTTCCTCGTAGCTCACGTACGACATCATCGACGGGCTATCCGCCGCCGCCGCCGACGCCGTTGTCATTACATCGCGGAAAGCCGGGGGCGTCTCGCTCGTGAAGGGCCGCCCTTCCGCATCGCGCGGTGCGACCTGGCTCAGAAGCGACTCGCACTGGTTGAGTCTCTCCAACAAGTCCTTAACTACGCGTCTCCTACCCGCTCCCGCGGGCGCCCGCGTGGAGGGGATACACGGCTGGTCGGCCTAGGGGGGAGAACACCATCTCGCATCAGCACACTGGATCCGGCTCCATCGGCAGAACTGCCCGCTGACAAACCTTGATGCAGTTGGCGCAAGGGGACTTTCGGTCGCACTTAATCTTGCGCTGATGGCAGAAAACGCAGGCCAAGACGTGCGGGCCCTTTCCGGGTGTCGCGTTGCTGTTTTGTCGCGAGACTGGGCTTTCGGATGCCATGAACGCTGGATATTTTTTTGTTTGTTTCCCTTTTCAGACTGCTTTTCTCAGTCTTTCTCGACAGTGTTGATGTGACCTTTTCTCGTCCGTTTTTTTGTCGAGACGGACTTTCGCACTCTCAAACGATCCGGTCGAATGACGTTGCACTGCGATTTGTGCATCTTTCGGAGTAAACTGGGCAGGGGTCAGGCGACTTGTGCAGATTATCCTCTTTTTTGTGGAATTCGCTATCCCTGATTCGACAATTAGTGGGGCGGAAGATCCTTGGCGACGGACGGGATGGGAGGTTACATTGCGGAGTTTGAGCGTTGTGCACGATTTGTGATCATGTTGTACGAATACAGCGGGCAGAAATGTCGAGTCACGCTACAAGCTGTCGCGATTGATTCAGAAAGGCCCGAGAGTAGAGTACAGCCACGGAAACCGATGTTTGGCTGAGGCGCATATCAAATTTGTTGATTAGATGTGAAATATGCGGAGAATGTTTGGGGTATCGACAACTGGAAATACATGCTTATCTGTAGACGGTGCGGACTTTTCCCACCTCACTTGTCCATATTTACAGGTCCCCCTTGAGAGAAGTCATACTCTGCAGAAAGCCCCTGATAAAACATGGGATCCAAGTCCGGAAGAAAGTAGCTAAAGATTCCCATCACGTCCGTTCCCATCAATGCGCCGGGCGAGACTTGATCAAGGCCGTTGTCGAAGGAAAAGTCCGCAAAGCTCGACGGCATGGTCATCGCAGTGGTCGCAAAAGCGTCGCCAGGCATGGTCTGTGAGCCAACTTTGATTAGAAAGGATTCGTCAGGTACCATGCAACTTGACTCACATTTGATAAGTCCAGCGTCATTTCCATGGGTTTCATGTTGTTCCTGCTGGACGGCGGTCTGGGGAGAGATGTGCCCAAGTCTTGCGTCGCTGTGGATGAGCGCGCGAGGCCAGATATTCTGATGTCGCCATGTTGAATCTCATTCACATAGTCCCTCGCGATCTTGGCGAATTCGGCGATGAGCGAGCCTGGAAGAGTGCCGCCACTTGCGTATTCGATCCTGCTGAAGTGACCAGCAGCCATGTCGAGAAGAGCTAGGTTAGAAGCCACTTCTGGTTGGCGCGGGTCGTGGACGACGATGTCAAACAAGACAAAGAGTGCCGTTATTGGGATTCCCGCAATGACCCTGACGTTCCCAATCAGTAAGACAATTCAAGTGGGCATTGAGCTTGCTTACCAAGTCACCGTGTACGGCTCAACTTCAATCATGGTGGTCAACTCCAAGATAGACCGAGATGCTCCGAGAATTGCTTTCATGTTGGAGTTCTTCCTTGCCAAGACCGACCCATCCTCTGTACTTGGGAGATATACCAAGGTTGTTCTCGACAGTGTCAGTAAAAGGCTACTGTATAGATAGTGAACTATCAAAGAAAGAGCTCTGGCCAAGGGAGTCAGGAGAACTTGGGGGCGGACAAGTCCATCCGGCTTGAATCCATTGTCAGGCAACGAGGACCTCCACTCTTCCAGCTCATCTGTCAGCTGGCTTATTACATCGAGGTAGTATGAGTTAGAGTTGCCCGAAACGCCAACTGAGAAAAGCGAGGTGTATGCGCGTGATAGCAGACGTCCGAATCTTATGAAGTGCAGGAACCAGTTAAAGTCACCCACTGTTGCCTCAGGGACAAGGGGTATGGGACAGAAGATGTCGCTGTCAACGAAGCTCTGTCGATCATCAGCAAAAATCAGTCGTTCTAGAGATATAAACTTACAGAACTCCTTCCAAAGTGAAAACTAGTAATCTTCTCAATGGTGTATAGAATCCAGAAGGCCTTCTGATACGCAACCGCGGCTGTCCCCGTGAAGTTGTTGGTCGACATGATCTGGGCTCGCCTTGCTGCTTCGGACATGATGACTGGTTCCACGGCCAGTCCACATATGCCCAACCCATAAACCGACATTGCCGTTAAAGCTTGCAGTATCGTGAGTGAGTCGGGAAGAAGCAGAAGATCTGAGAAGCCGCCGAGGGCGACCGAGAACAGCCTCCAAGATTCGCCCTTTCCGGCCTCAAAGGTCCCGCCATCTGCATACTGCGATCCCAAGGCAAGAATGGTGTGATACAGACATGACCAGGGCTTGCTTCGCTCGAGAAGGGTGAGAAAGTTGGGCCCATTCACCGTCGCCTCAAACAGCGCCTTGTCGAGAAAGGGGAACACCGGGTGGACGCGCTCGAAGTACACTAGCGAAAAGTCAGTCTTCAGCTCTGATATTTACACTGAGAGACTTTACTTCGGATGTACAATGATGTTTTGGTACTGTCGGTGATGGAGTCGGGCTGTGGCATCCGCCGCGTGTTGGCGGTCGAGTCAGCCCGCCTCAACCGGCCATTGACGATCGTTGATATTCTGCCGACGAGTTCATTGACCTTGTTGTTGCGAAGTCGAGTCGATAGCGAAAGTAGTCTGCCGTCTGAGAAGAAGGTCAAGCTGTTGCGGCCACCTGTCGGAGTTAGTGACGATTGCCTACGTTGATTGAACCTTGAGTGTTGTTTGTACCGAAAATTCCGTTGCGCTAGAAACTGTTCAGTAGGTAGCCACAATAGAAGGGGGTGTTACATACAGGCACAAAGACCAAGTCCTCCGCATTCTTGCTGTTGGCTGTCGGCGGTCGCCGTGCCCTCGTGAGGGCTCGGTCGACGTACAGCTCTTGAATGCGATGTGGAGGAGATTTTGGCGGCGGCGAGCCTAAAGGAGATGAAACTGACTTATGTTCACCAGTGGTGGTAGTCGAAAGATCAAGGACTGCCTTCGCATCGGGGGCAGCTGGGGCTTGTTGCCCGGCCGTAGAGTAGTTTGTTGGTAAGAGTTGGCCCGCAACTACGGGAGAACAGTCAGCACGAAGACCCAACGCCGCGCGACGATTTCAACAACGATAAACATTAAATTTATATCGGTGATATAGTGGAGGAGAAATTTAAAGCTTACCATTTCGTCTGTGAGCAAGTCTTCTCACACTAAAGCGACAGTCTGCTTTCCGCCGCTTCCCGGTTCATCGAGTGTCAGCAAACAAGACTCAGGAAACATGCATGACTACAGTGTAATTACCACACAGTTTGCACAAGGACCCGGTGGCCCAGAGCCTGTCAAAAATGTAAGCACAAGATCTTCCAGTCGAGCTACCCCCTTTGGTGCAGCGAGAGTCGGCCGAGGAAACATACTGGGGCAGCGGACCTTGCGCGCCTTGCAGGCATCACAGGACTTGTGGATTCGGGCACCCGCAGCGGGGCTGGGGCTAGATTCAGGCTTGTCAGCCATGCTCGGCCGACCTCTTCAGACAACCCGTCAGCAACCAAAAACAGTAAACAGAATGTGCAAGAACTCGGCGACGAGGATGGACTGGCGAAGAACGCAAACAGAAAGCTGGGAGCTCTGATGTTTTTTGGTTTAAGGGGGTGGAGCTCGTCTGAAGGTTCGGCCCTCTTCGTGGAGCGGTGATGGTGTGGTCCTCGGCGCCGAACTGCCGCATTCGGTAAGCCCGGGCGCCCGGCGGTGTCAATAAAACCGTTGGGCGGGCCCCCTGATCATCGCGCCAACATCGCGTCTGGACGTATGGGCGAGGCTCCGGTGGGTGCTATCTGCGGCTCAAGATCTTTCGGAGCCGAGATGTCTTGTTTGGCGAACGTGGGCTGCATGTCGGAGAGTTTTGGCAGGCTTTCAGGCAACTTAGATGCATGTTCGACTCGCACACCAGGCACATGTATCGTCAGCTCGGGCGAGGTGATGGTGATATGGCTCGGTATCAAGATTGGCGAAGTTACGAGACCCTGAATTTTCCTCGTGGCATGCATCAATGGCGTCTCCAATGTGTCAAGAAACAATTTCACATGCTCGTAAATATCTCTTACCCTTGCTTATGGTGGTGGGAGTTCAAGGTACTAATGCGATGGACACCCTGCGCTGCTTCTGTCAGATTTCTCTGCGGATGACCCTTTCTTTCCCCAAGGCCTTTCTCCGTTCACTATTCATAGTCTTCATATACCCTTTAGGTGGTCACAGAGGTTTCTCTGTGAGCCATCCTGGTCACATTCAAAACATTTCCAATTCGGCAGTCAAAGAGGTGTCCCCAAAGGCAACAAACTGTAAAACCCCATATAAGGGAAAGGGTCGAATTTCTGAATCTTTCAAGCTGTCTGCTTTTCACTCATTTCACAAACTCTTGCCGAAGGTTCACAGGCATCCACAGTCATGGACCAACACCTAGCCAGTCCTCGTATGGACGTTAGGTCAGCGTCATCTAACGACACTCTTCGTGAGAAGACGATCCAAGAACAACACCACCAGAGCGATGAGACAGACCTCGAGGTCAGCGATGACGGAGTCAACGAGCTCGTTCGCGGTTACAGCTTAGAGCTTGTCCGCACGTCCACCCGTCCGAATAGCTCCTTCGTCAACCCCTTCCTTTCCAAGGATCCTTCTCTCGACCCCAACAGCCGCGAGCATTTCAACGCCAAGAAGTGGACCCGATCGCTGCTCCAGCACTCCGACCGAGACCCCGAACAGTTTCCCAGATTAGAAGCTGGCGTCGCGTGGCGCAACTTGAGCGTCCATGGCTTTGGTACCGACACGGACTACCAGAAAGATGTTCTGAACGTCTTGCTCCAAGGCCCCATGATGATCAAGCAGTTCTTCAGCAACAGAAGGCAGAAGATCAACATCTTGAGGGAGTTTGACGGTATTGTCAAGAGTGGTGAAATGCTCCTGGTTTTGGGACGACCAGGAAGTGGAGTTTCGACTCTGCTGAAGACCATTGCTGGAGAGACGAACGGCCTGCATCTTGAGTCGCACTCACACCTCAGCTATCAAGGTATGCTCTAGAATTCCCCACCTACTAAGACAAAACTGACAACAGGTTTCACAGGCATCCCGATGGAGACGATGCACAAAGCATTCCGAGGCGAAGTCATCTACCAGGCCGAAACTGACATCCACTTCCCTCACATGACGGTCGGACAGACGCTTCTCTTTGCCGCCTTAGCCAGGACACCTAAGAACCGTCTTCCGGGTGTAAGTCGACAGAGATACGCTGAGCACCTTCGAGACGTCGTCATGGCCGTCTTTGGCATCTCTCACACCATCAACACCAAGGTCGGCAACGACTTTGTAAGAGGCGTCAGTGGTGGCGAGCGCAAGCGTGTGAGTATCGCAGAGGTCACCCTCAGCCAGAGCCCGATCCAGTGTTGGGACAATAGCACCAGAGGTCTGGACAGTGCTACCGCTCTCGAGTTTGCCAAGACGCTGCGGTTGTCTACGAATGTGGCCAAGACATCAGCCATCGTGGCGATGTACCAGGCGTCACAGCCAGCATATGATGTATGTGTTTGTTTCTGGAAAGTGGTATGTCGAACAACGAGACTGACATAATCTAGGTGTTTGACAAGGTCTCTGTTCTCTACCAGGGTAGACAGATCTACTTCGGCCCTACGCAACTCGCAAAACACTACTTTGTCGAAATGGGCTACGCCTGCCCGGATCGCCAGACCACCGCTGACTTCCTCACATCGCTCACCAACCCTGCTGAGCGTGTCGTCAGACTTGGCTTCGAGAACAGGGTGCCCAGAAGCCCAGACGAGTTTGCGACGGTGTGGAAGGGAAGCCAGCTGAGGGCTCGTTTGATGGAGGAGATCCACTCATTCGAGGAGCAGTATCCCATGGACGGCTCAGGCGTGAACAAGTTCTCTGAAGTTCGCAAGGCTCACAAGCAGTCTCTCACGTAAGTCAAACGCCACTCGCATGACCTCTACAGTGCCTATACTGATCTTCTCCCAGGTCCTCGAGGTCCCCGTACACCATCTCCGTGCCGATGCAAATCTGGCTCTGCATGACGCGTGGATATCAACGACTCTCCGGCGACAAGCTGTTCTTCTTTGTGACGGTACTCGGCAATCTTGTGATCTCGCTCGTGCTGGGCAGCATTTTCTTCGACTTGCCGGCGGATGCATCGAGCATGAACTCCCGTTGCATTCTTATCTTCTTCGCTATCCTGTTCAACGGGTTGAGCAGTGCTCTTGAGGTGAGACTTATGCACATTATCGCCATGAGCTGGACTTGCTGACACGCTATTAGATCCTCACACTTTACGTGCAGAGACCCATCGTCGAGAAGCATGCACGGTACGCCCTCTACCATCCATTCTCAGAAGCCATCTCCTCCACAATCTGCGACCTTCCCAGCAAGATTCTCTCAACTCTCGCCTTCAACATTCCGCTCTACTTCATGGCCAAGCTCCGTCAGGAAGCAGATGCATTCTTCATTTTCCTGCTTTTCGGCTTCACCACCACCCTCTCCATGTCCATGATCCTGCGCACCATCGGCCAGACCTCGAGGACGATCCACCAAGCACTTACGCCTGCCGCTATCTTCATTTTAACCTTGGTGATCTACACCGGCTTCATCCTCCCGACCAGCAGCATGAAGGGCTGGCTCCGTTGGATCAACTACATCAACCCCATCGCCTACGCTTTCGAGAGCCTTGTCGCCAACGAGTTCACTGGACGCCAATTTCCTTGCGCAGACTACGTGCCGGCCTATCCGAACGCGACACCGTCTCAGCGCGCTTGTGCTGTAGCTGGGGCCATGCCGGGGGCTGACTTTGTTGATGGCGACTTTTACATGAACGCTCATTTTAGCTACTACAAGTCTCACATGTGGAGGTAAGCAAACCGTATGAGCGAAAGGTCAGTAGAATATCACTAACGCCAGGGCAGAAACTTTGGTATTCTCATTGGTTACATCATCTTCTTCCTCACTGTCTACCTCGTGGCAGCTGAGTTCATCACCACAAACCGCTCCAAGGGCGAGGTGCTGCTTTTCCGCAAGGGGCACAAGTCCACAACTCCCTCAAAAGCGGTGTCTGACGAGGAGACTGGGCGGTCTGATCGCGTTTACCGCAATGACAAAGAGGTGGTTTCATCTCCGCGCCACCCTGCGACCAGACAGCCGACTCGCCAACAGCACCAGGCGGTTTTCCACTGGAAAGACGTGTGCTACGACATCACGATTAAGGGAGAGGACCGACGCATTCTTTCGCACGTTGCAGGATGGGTTAAGCCTGGCACACTTACTGCATTGATGGTAAGAAGTGTTGATCATTGTGCTGTCGAATGATGCTGACGTTGGCTGTTAGGGATCTACTGGTGCTGGCAAGACCACCCTGCTTGATGTTTTGGCCAATCGGGTCACGATGGGCGTCGTCTCTGGAGACATGCTGGTCAACGGCATACCGAGAGATCAATCGTTCCAACGTAAGACGGGTTACGTGCAGCAGCAGGACATCCACCTGGAGACTTCGACGGTGCGCGAGGCACTGCAGTTCAGTGCGATGCTTCGACAACCTGCATCTATCAGCAAACAGGAGAAGTACACCTACGTCGAGGAGGTCATCGAGCTTCTGGAGATGGAGGCCTATGCGGACGCTATTGTCGGCGTTCCTGGCGAGGGTAAGACTTCCATCACCCAGACTTCTTCCAAACCTTTAAAGACTAACCTGTGACAGGTCTCAACGTCGAACAGCGAAAGCGTCTTACGATTGGAGTCGAACTAGCCGCCAAACCAGACCTTCTTCTCTTCCTCGACGAACCCACCTCCGGCCTCGACAGCCAAACGGCCTGGTCCATTGCATCCCTCATCCGAAAGCTTTCCGAAAACGGCCAAGCAATCTTGTGCACCATCCACCAGCCCTCCGCTCTCTTGTTTCAGCAGTTCGACCGCCTTCTTCTCTTAGCCCACGGCGGAAAAACGGTCTACTTCGGCGACATCGGCGAGAACTCTCGCACGCTCACAGGCTACTTTGCGCAGTACGGAGCCGCCCCCTGCGGTCCGGACGAGAACCCCGCCGAATGGATGTTGAAGGTCATCGGAGCGGCGCCGGGTGCCAAGGCGGAGCGGGATTGGCATCAGACGTGGAAGGATAGCGATGAGTCTGTCGAGGTGCAGCGAGAACTCGCACGATTGGAGAAGGAATCGCCTGCGTCTGGATCTCTGGGCACGAGCGAAGAGATGTCGACTTACGCGACGCCGTTTTCAACGCAGTTGGCTATGTGCACCACACGCGTGTTCCAGCAGTACTGGCGTACGCCATCATACATTTACTCGAAGCTGATTCTGTCAGGCGGAACAGTAAGTCTCCCAACTACCCTATGCATCGGCACGGTAACTAACAGAATCACAGAGTCTCTTCATCGGCGTCTCATTCTACAAGGCGGAGCTCACGATGCAAGGCCTCCAAAGCCAGATGTTCTCCATCTTCATGCTCCTGGTCGTCTTCGCCTTCCTCGTCTACCAGACGATGCCCAACTTCATCCTCCAGCGAGAGCAATACGAAGCCAGAGAACGAGCCTCGCGCGCGTACTCGTGGTATGTCTTTATGCTGGTCAACATCATCGTTGAGCTTCCCTGGAACACCTTGGCCGCGATTGTCATCTTCTTTCCATTTTACTACCTCGTCGGCATGTACCGCAATGCCATCCCTACCGATGCGGTGACTGAGCGCGGAGGGTTGATGTTCTTGCTTGTCTGGGCTTTCATGCTTTTTGAGTCGACTTTTGCGGACATGGTCGTTGCCGGTGTACCAACAGCCGAGATTGGAGCCACGCTGTCTCTCCTTCTGTTCGCCATGTGCCTCATCTTCTGCGGGTAAGTAGACATTTCTCCTCTAAATTCCACCTCGAAGCGTGACTGCTAACCACCAACAGTGTCATCGTGCCCATGGGCTCTCTTCCCACATTCTGGAAGTTCATGTACCGAGTCTCTCCACTCACCTACCTCGTCGACGGCCTCCTCTCGACCGGACTCGCTCACAACGCCGTGCAGTGCTCGCCGCTGGAACTTTTGCAGTTCTCGCCACCCGCCAATGTCACTTGCGGAGCTTACATGGAGACGTACATGCAGGTTGCTGGCGGCAGGGTCTACAACCCAGAAAGCACTGATAGCTGCCAGTTCTGCTCGTTGGCCGATACCGACATGTTCCTGGCCATGACGTCCGCCTCGTATGACGAGAGGTGGCGCAACTATGGGCTGATGTTTGTGTACATTGTCTTCAATCTGTTTGCTGCCCTGGGGCTGTATTGGTTGGCTAGGGTGCCGAAGAAGTTTTCGCTGTCGCAGCTGTGGAAGAAGAAGACTGCTTAAATCAGCAACGCGTTATCTTCTACCGCACAATTGGGACATAGAACGACAGGTATTTTTCAGGAAAGGTCGGAGTACGTCAATTTGGATACAGATCATTTAGCATCTAGAATTATCATGGTACCTAAATGCATTATATCTACTCGTTTGTAGTCTAAGTTACAGTCACTTGCTCAAGCAGTAGGCTTGGAGCATAGACAGCTGTACTTGCTTGCAGTCATGTCGATGTGCATTCTGCCAGGTCAAAAAGGCAAAACGAAACCTCTAGATCTAACATGAAGCAAAAGACTGCGCCGAGGGGGAATCGAACCCCCGGCTCCCCGACGCTGCTTGATGGCAACGGAGAATTTTACCACTAAACCATCGGCGCTGTTGATGAACGAAGCGGGATCTGGATCCCGTTGTGGATGCCGGAGTGCGAGGAGCGGAAGGCTTATGCAGCTCGGTGGAACTGGGTGGGTCGTGTGTGAGATGCCTCAAGTGTTCACGAGACTCTGCGAGATTCAAGATGAGACGAAAGGGCTAGTAGGACTAGATAGAAAGATGGATGTTGAATTGTGAGCAGAAGCTTTTGGCAACTAATGGCTTGAGTGGGCAGGCCCTCGAGTCTTCTCGGTCCACTCGTTTAGAAGCCTCTTCGATGTGTTTGCAAGCCCCTCCCGCCATCCTCCCGCAACATCCTGCGCCCAACCAACTTTGTCAAGCCACTTGAGCAAGCCTTCCGCACGAGCCCCATCAGGATGCTGCAACAGCCCGACTGCGATATCCACCATGCCGGGCCGGTCGTTGACGGCGTAAAAGACGCTGGCGGAGCACTTTGAGCAGAAGTACCGCTGGACGTCTCGAGAGCTCTCATACATCGCCAGGGTACCCAGGCGTGGATCCTTGTCCTTAGCCGTGACCGCATCTCTCAGGTAGCTGACGTTTCTGGGAAACTTGGCCGCGTCTGGTGGGTTGTCTCCGCCAAATTCAATGTGCGATAGGGGAGCAAAGGTCCACGCCATCAAGTCCGCTCCGAAGCTGAGTCGGCAAGAGTCGCAGCATTCGAGACTTCCGCGGTACTTCAGTGTTTCTTTGTCGACGAACCAGGTGTCGAGATCTTCTTCCGGGAAGTCTCCGAGATCAGCGCCGCTTTTGAGCTTGAGGTCGATACCACCGCAGTGACATCGGAACGGCGTGATCTCAGGAGTCGGCCCTGCCTTGAGAGTCTCAGATGACAAGGCCTTGGCACCGGGCCAATCTAGCGGTAACTCCTCACTCTTCCCAGCGCCCTCTCTCCACCGCTTAACCGGCGCGCCGTCCGCATATCGAGGCAACCAGACCGAAGCTCCTCCATCAATGGTGTCTCCGACGTGCATGTGGTTCGCGTACTGCACCAAGTCCTCGGCATTCTCAAGTGCGCCGGTAACCACCCAAGGAACGTCTCCGACGGCGGGTCCGAGGCAGAACATCTGGGCCGAACAGGTCCCGCATGAGTAGAGGTCGATGCTGTCCGAGTAAGAGTACTTCTTGAGATCGGCAAGGTGCTCAGAAGGCGATGGCCACTTGACGCACGCGGTGTAAAGCGCGCCTGAGACGTGTCGACATGAGTTGCAGTGGCAGCATGAGGCTTTCAGAGGAAGATTGGACCTGAAAGTCTGAGCCTTGAAGGTGTGTAATTTGCACAAACATTGAGCCGTGATGACGACCCTGTCGCGAATGTAGGAGCGCTCATAGCCGTCACCGCCCATGTTGAAGTAAAATGATAATTTGGCAGTAACGTAGAGACTCAAGAATGTTGAAGTTTGATGAAGTGCTAACTTGTGAACGTCAAATTGGTGATACGCGGGGTTTTAAGTAATAGAAGGGCGCGAATGACAATCCTAGCATTTTCGCCCGCTACGTCACTGGCGCGGCTTCCTGCAGCGTGTTATCGTGTTACCCCAACTACAGTGCAGCTTGGCGAAAAGCTGACCACGATAGGCGATGGACTCGTAATACGGCATGACATTATCCCTCTGGATGTATATAACCAGAGTTGCTCTGACTTTGGGGTACTGCAGGTGAAATGTTAAATCTGATCGCTGTAAGCACTAATCGCAGGCAAACAAGCCGCTATCCGATGTTGATGCTGCCTGGATAGGCTGCGACTTTTCCAGTGTTTGCCAAAATCCGAAAAGCCACAAGTTTGCAACCCTCAGAATGGTGATGGCTGCATGGCTGTGTAACGCCGAGAGTGATATTGCGCGTTTCTGCGCAACACCGGCGGCCCATCCTAGAGGTGGGACCGGCGACTGCTGGGCCAAATGAAGCGGACTGTGGAACAGGCTGGATCTAGAACCTCGAGAGCAAAGGGCTCTTGTCCTCCCCGAGAAGCTTCCGAATTTGACTACAACCCTTCTCTTTCGATATTTTTGCCTATGACATCGAGGAGTCTGCAGGAGACAGTTGCCTCATTGCCTTGTGGATGTTGACCCTTGTGAGAAAACCGCCAGTGACCATGGTGCATCGGTATCGCAGCAGCCACGCATGTACTCAACCGCACCTCCAAACTAACTTTATGAAGAAAATATCACATGAAAACGGGATTCTTTTTGCAATGACTACAGTATCCATTTAAGGGGTTTTAAAGGTCTGTTCATGGCGCTTGCTGGGTTTCGTGCACTAGTGCAATCTGTACAATTATGCAGGGTTAGGGTCAAGATTATGCACCTTCACCACCAGCAAACCGTTAGTCATCCACGACTGAATCGGCGACTGAATCGGCGCCAACACGCGTTGACGCCAATGACGGTGACCGCAAGATGCTCAAAGTGGGTCGCCCTGAACTTCCGACAGTCCTCGTTACACCTTCCAACCTCCAAGCGACAACTTTCTTCTTCCTCCCCCGGTACTGCTGAAGAGACCCAGCACCAGTCCAGCAGAGTTCCATTCTGCGGCTGCCCCAGATCGTTACATCTCCAGTTCCAGTATCCAGTAATATCCGGCCCTCGTTGGCTGCCTGACTGGGCGGAATGAACGATCACAACGTCGCAGTGAAGCGGATCTCGGAGATCGTCAAGGACTTCCACTCGCGCCGGGAGCCCTTCCGCATCTTCCACGGCTCCACCAGCAGCACCCGTCCCGCTCACGGCCAGCGCGTCGTCGACATCAGCGAGCTGCGCCATGTGCTGCACATCGACACCGCGGCCGCCGTCGCCATCGTCGAGCCCAACGTCGCCATGGACCAGCTCGTCGCCGCGACCTACCGCGCCGGCATGGTCCCGCCCGTGGTGATGGAGTTCCCCGGCATCACCGTCGGCGGCGGGTTTGCCGGGTCCGCCGGCGAGAGCAGCTCGTTTCGGTACGGTTACTTTGATGAAACGGTGCTGGCGGTGGAAATCATCCTGGCCACCGGCGAGGTCGTCAATGCATCAAAGACGGAAAATGCGGATCTCTTCAAGGGTGCGGCCGGGGGGCTGGGGACGCTCGGCATCGTCACGAAACTGGAGCTGCGGCTGCTGCCGGCGAAGAAGTTTGTCAAAGTCACTTATCATCCGTACTCGAGGATCCCGGATGCGATAGCTGCGATCCAGCGGGAGACGAACTTAGCTCACAACGACTATGTTGAGGGGTTGGTGTTCTCGAGGACCAGCGCGGCGGTGGTAACCGGTCAACTCACGGACGACTTGCCAGTAAAACACAAGCCGCAAACCTTCAGCAAAGCAAAGGACCCGTGGTTCTATCTGCATGCGCGAAAACGCATTACAAATGCAGTACCAACTCCAGATTATGTGCCGCTGCAAGATTATCTCTTCCGATATGATCGCGGCGCATTTTGGATGGGTGAGTTGGCGTTCAAGTACTTCGGTTTCGTTCCTTTCAACCGCATAACACGGCGCGTGATGAACCGCCTCATGGATACCCGAACATTATACAAAGCAGGCCTCGGCGGTGGCAGCCGGATGACTTTCCAGTATCTGGTGCACGATCTGTCATTACCATACTCAACAGTCCAAAATTTCATCGACTACGTCGCCGACAACATGGAAATCTGGCCCCTCTGGCTATGTCCTCTGCGTGCCATCGAGGCCCCCAGTTTTCACCCCTACACGACGGAGCCGGGTGGAGAGGCACCCCAGCCGATGCTTAACGTGGGAGTCTGGGGCCATTCGTCAAAGAAGATTGACCGTTTCATGCGACAAAACCGAGATCTGGAGGCAAAGCTGATGGAGTTGGGCGGGCGCAAGGTGCTGTACTCACATGCTTACTACACGGAAAAGGAGTTCTGGGACATGTACGACAAGGACTGGTACACGAAACTACGAGAGCGATATAGTGCGACGAGTCTACCGGATGTTTACGACAAGGTTGTGGTTGACGTTACCAAGGAAAAGGAAAGGAAATCTATTCGTGACAAGGTGGCGGTCACTTGGCCGTTTGCAGGACTCATTGGAGTTTGGTCGGCAATTCGAAAGTAACGGGATCGCATCGATGTATGAACGACAAGTCTTGCGTTGTTGTTTTGCTGCAAGGATTATTATGAAGGCTGTAGAATGGTTGAGGCTTGTTCCGATAGTACGAGCGGTTGCTTTTGATGATCCATCGGCCTTCTGCATTCTTTTGGGCCTTTTTATAGACAGCATGAAGGGTTTGAGCCCACGATGTATGATAGTATTGGCTTCTGCCCATGGCATTTCACACGAATGATTCTTACTGAAATCTTATAGACGGCTTATATGTTGTAATGGCCTGGCACGTTGTATCTTTGGGAATCTTTCGGAACATAACGGACATAGAAACGTTCAAGATCATATAAAGCCTAAAACTCCGTGTCTACATGATCTAAACTGTGCCGGGATATTGATGGACTGATTATTCCTTCTACGGGTTAAGCAAAGATGAAATTCTACCGCATATGCTCCTGACAGCTTCAAATCGGGGCTGGTCTCTCAAGCTTGAGCAGGACTAGAAGATCCGTCATCATTGCTCGTCCCTGGTGTAGCCGCTTTCTGCCTGATGTCTCTCCAACCCATGCCGAAGGCAGCCAGAAAGGCAAGGACACCGACGGCCGCAACCAAGAAAACCACATGATCAATGGCATTTGCATACGCCACCAGGACAGCTGGGAGATCTTCAGCAGACACCAGCTTGCGGAACTCTGTAGCGCCAGCCGCAACAATAGCCTCTACATCGGCATTAGGTGCGTATTTGGGAATCTCTGAGCGCAGACTGGAAGTGAAAAAAGTGTTGTAAGCAACAATGAAGATCGTCGGGCCAACATACTGTGCCCAGACAAGGAGGGATGTTGCTTCGGCGAGATGCTCCGGCTTGGTGTCGTTTTGAATGGCAATCAGCGGCTAGCCCAATTAGCAAATGATGCGAAGATTGTCTAGAATAATGGATCTGAATTGACTTACCATTTGAAAGCCGAAGCCTTGCCCGACCCCGGCCAGGATCTGGTATCCGATCCACTTTCCTGTCGAAGTATTGGGCTGGAAGGTCCCGTAGAGGCCGCTGCCAATTGCTGTCGTGGCCGCCGCGAATAGAGCAAACGGCGGGATGCGGCCGACCTTTGGAACTGTGAAACATGTTAGCGATGGCTGGACGAGGCTTTTACATAGGTCCTACCCAGAACACCAGTCAAGATTGTCGTGAGTATTTGTGGTAGGATGTTGGGCATGAGATAAACGCCGCTGAGCATAGCGCTCTTTTCCTTGATAGCTTGGAAGTATATCGGCAGGTAGAACACGCCACCAAACACCACGGCCATGAAGAGTCCATAGTTAAGTGAGCTTATGGCGACAATGCGTCTCTTGACCATGGAAGTCGGAATGAGGCCCTCGTCGCCCTCATGACGGTTCCAGAATGCCCAGACAACGGCGTTGAGGCTTGCGCCGCAGAAAAGACCAATGACTTGGGATGATTTCCACGGGAACTGGTTTCCACCGTATTGCAAGGCGAGAAGGAGCATAATGACCGATGGAGCAAACAATGCGAAGCCAATGAGGTCGAGGAAACGGTGGAGGCCTTTGAGGACGTGGAGGGGGCTCTGCTTTGCAACCTGTTCAGGAATGTGGATGATGACCAACGGAATCGCGACAATGACTCCAAGGGGCAGATTAATGTAAAAGCTCCATCTCCAAGTGTAACCCGTAGTGAAGGCGCCGCCAATAAGAGGCCCTATCACCTGGCCAAGCTGGGAAATTCCCATGCACGCCCCAATGAGAGGCGGTCGCTTCTTGAGGGTTACTGAAGCCGAGATGATCGTGAACGATCCGTTGATGATACCAGAAGCACCCAACCCCGCGATGGTACGACCGACTATGAGCATTGCCGACGTCTGCGCTGCTCCGCAAAGTGCAGAGCCGAGTTCGAAGGCAAAGAAGAACACAAGAAAGGTCCACTGAAGGACTTTCGTTAGAATTTGGGAATGCAGGCAAACAGCATTTTATTGGGAATCACACACCTTGAGATTAAAGTGATTGTACATCTTACCAGTCAGAGGCACAAGAGCCGCACTAGGGTAGTGTGAGCCGCGAAACGTCGATCGAACCAATCCTCAGCTTACCTGCCCAGATTATACGCACTGCCATACCAGCCAACGTCAACTAGGGATTTGAAGTCGTCGGTGATCTTGGGAATTGCCTGTCACCACCAGTTTTTAGCTATGGTGCCGCATATAACTGCAGGACTTGGTCGACGGACAGTCAAATACTTACAGTACTGATGACAGAAATATCCATCACTGTCAGGAAGCAAGCCAGCGAGACCGAGACGACGATCAGACCGAGTTTGACGCCGCTGACATACTCCTGGTTATTGCCTTCTGCCTTCATCTTTGCAGTCTTCTCTAAGTCATCAGCCACACCGTCAATAGACGGCTGCACAGTATCGGAGCCCGTGACCGCGTTTTCACTCTCAGCACCGGAGAGGTGGCGGTGGCGACGCTCTGTGGAAGATTCGTGAGACTGTTCAGGAGGCATTATGATGGTTCTAGTGGGGCGTAGTTGTCAAAGAACTTGATTCAATAGGAGTTTGAAGTGTAGAAATAGGAAAACGAAAGTAAAGAGAATCCTCAAATGCCTGAAATTCACTCGCAAATGTACTGCAGGACATCATGTGATGTATGAAGAGACTTCAGGGTCACCTTTCCTCCTCTTGTAGGATTATCTCCTTCTTTCAGCCTCCATTCTGTTTGCTATGGCCTTGCGACAGCTCCTTCACTCGCAGTCTGTACGTACATGTCTTGAACCGGAGCAGGCACGCGTGCCGGGTCCGCCGGCCCCACGTCAGCCCCGGCCCCGGCTAGTACGTACCTCCGTATGCGATCCAATAAGAGTATCCGGACGACCCTGTATTTATGTATGTCACTCAAACGCCCGCTTAGAGGTGGGCTGTCAGATGGGAAGGATGATCTTTGAGTGCGGCGCAACCTGCGCGGGCATTTGGTGCGGTTCCGCAGGAACGGCCCAATAAAGATGACCCTGTTCCGCCGCCGTCGCACCCGCCGTCCAACTGTTCCATCCGTCTGCTCTATACCGATTCCATCTACTTGTCACTTCCTGCAACACCAATTGACATCGAATTGAGCCGTATCACGTTGGTCAGACCGGGTCACACCATGAACCGGCCCTTGATGTCGGAATCCCCAGCCGGACGGGGATCGAAAGCATGCATGAACTGTGCCAAGGTGAAGTGCAAATGCATCTATCGCGAGGATGGTGCGCCCTGCGAGAGGTAAGACTCAATCCATGCCCGTCGCCCTTAGGGACGTGGGAAGTTTCCTGCATAGAATATGGTCTCTTGCGTATCTGCTAATGTCATTATCATCGCCCCATTCACAGGCTGGGCAATGCCAAGAAGTACTTCAAAGTTGAAATTAGACTAATCGGAGATGACTCGCAGATGTTACCGCCTGAAGAAGGATTGCACACCCTCCATCATTGTGCGCCGTCACAAACCCAGGTCTCAGGCTTCGAACCGGGTGACACGCCTCGAGGAAAAGCTTGACAATCTTGTCTCGTTCCTGAGGGCCGAGAAAGGGCTTCCACCAGCGCAATCGGACCGACAAGCCATCGACGAGGATGAATGCGAGGAAGATGAAGATGATGACCAAAACGATGTGGAGTTACTGCAAAACTCATCTCCCGATGCCGCCATCCCAACACCTGCAACGACGATCGCCAAATGGCCTTCTACATCTGGATCACCCAGTGGGTTAGAAGCTCTTTCAACAGACGAGCCATCTCCAGCTGAGGCAGAGGAGTCCCTGAAAAGGTTCAGAGAAGAGACAATTGTAGGATTTCCGGCGCAGATAAAGATACCCGGCGGCAAAAGCAGCTTTGCTAACAACGATGCGACAGCTGTTCTTCCCATTTCACTACATCCCACCGGACGTCTCCTCTCAGCAGTTTAAGGAGACGTATCCGTTCCTATGGCTGAACATCATGAGCGTGACATCCAGGTCTAACAAGCGACGACTGGGGCTCGGAGACAACGTTCGAGAGATCATATTTCAAAAGATAGTTATAGAACGAGAGAAGAATCTGGATCTTCTTCTTGGGTTAATAGCTACCCTGGGATGGTTCGTTACCCGTAACCGTCGAAACCCGATGTGCCTTCTCACAGTTGCTCATCGTCGCAGGTCACATTTACAGCGAAGGGATAAATTTTACAATTCCTTGTTCTCGCAGTTGATCATTCTTATGATCTATGACTTGGGGCTGAACATACCTCCCACGGAAGCTCCTCCGAAGGAATACTGCAGTCCGGGGACGCATACCCACTCCGAAGGTGGCAGACGGGAGAGAACCAACGACGAACGCAGAGCAGTGCTAGGTGCTTTTCTTATTACTTCCATGTGGGTTATCTCTCCAGCCTCCAACTTGTTTCTTGTGATTCCAGGCTACTCCCAGCTACCCTTTCAGCTCCTTTAATGACATATGCATAATTACAGGGCCTCGTACGCCACGAAGGGACCAGAAGGGGTGCGTTGGTCTACGGTCCTTGACGAATACGCCAATCTTCTCGTTCAAACCGACCTCAACCAGGACAAAAGCCTCGTCGCTTTGGTTCGCATGCAGTTGATCATCAATCAAATACAGAGTATTAATATGATGGGGTCGAATCCAAATCAGGAGTTGCGCGAACTGTATACGTCCACCCTGCGCTCGCAGCTTCAAGCTATCATTAGCACAGAGCAGCTCGGCCCGGCTGCATCCACATACCGTAAGTGCACGGTCATTAGGATGTGATTGGTGACATATATTTTGAGCATCGTTGACATTCATGATCCATAGCCGCTGTGCTTGAACACTACCATTTCACCGAGCTTCTCATTCTCGAGTCGTCCTTATGTTCATCACATCAATCCACTGATCCCGATCTGAAGAGATTTGAGGTCTACCAAGGGCAACTGAACTCGGTCAGAGCATGGCTCAGCACTTTCTATACAACTGACGTCCGATTATATGGCGACATGGCGCTGTTCAGCTACTCTGAGCTGGTCCGGGTCATGGTATCCTTGCACAAGTTGAACACACTGGATGACACTGCTTGGTCGCGCTCTGGTGTTAGGCAAACGCTTGATCTGATTCCGACTCTGGACAAACTCATTGCAGTCTTCGAGCAACTGAGAGCTGCCAGTGTTCTATGGTCTCCTGCCTGCGGGGCAGGGGAAGACGAGGCGTTTACGTGGGCTATCACGGTTTTCCAAGGCATGAGGAAGGCATGGAAGGATGAAATGACGGGTTTCGAGGACTTTGGCAGCGGCAACGTGGGGGTTGTATCACATAGTTTGATGGCCATGCCTACGTACAGCGCTACCGATGCATGGTGGTCAGATGTATTCAATATCTGACAGTATCTCAGCGTCAAGCGGGAAACAATGGATAATCACTATCTCAGTTCTTAGTCTATAATGAATAGCGGGACAAGCACAAAAGGTTGGATGCAGTCTGCCGATGGTGTGTATACGCACTACCGAACAGCGTTGGTGTTTAAGCTGGGCATATCCTAGACATGTTCAGGTCCACGCGTGAGCTTGAACCCACCACTGACGAGATTCTGGAAAACACCGTCCGGATCATAGTCCTTCGCAATCTTCAGAAGTCGCGCCTTATTCTCCGCTCTGTAGCTGGTGAAGGGATCTTGAAACTGGCTGGCGTAGTTGGTGTACTTGAACCCGTTATACAGCCCCCTTTCCCTTGCGGCAGCATTCACGCGGTCCTCGATACGCTGCTGTGTGGCGTAGACAATCTTGTCGTCCTCGGCATTTTTCCACATGGCGATGATGTTCAGAAACCCGAGAGGCCGTTCTTGCTCGGCAAAGCTGGTGGGGTTCCCGCCGTTACGCTTAGCGAAATCGAACTCGGCGCGCGTGAAGATCTGGAGCTGCAATTGCTGTGTCGCGATATCCTCGATGGCCTTGGCCTCTTCGCGCCAGATTTCGAAAGCCGTCTGCATCATTTCCGCGTCCAGTACGAATGAGGTCGTCCAGAAGGAGTTGCGGGTCACACCGCCCGGGAATACAAGGCCATCGGCGATCTCAGCGTGGTATGCGTTGGTCTCCGTGATGTTTCTGGGTCCGACACTGTAGAAACCGTCAAATACTGCAGGGTGCTTGTTGTCGGTGAAGGTGTCGGCGTGTGTGAGAATAACTATCCCAGTCGGAGGAGCGTCCTTGTTGTAGTCCCAGAGCAGTACGCTGAAGCTCTTGGGATCGGTTGCTACGAGTTGATCGCCCCAGTTGACGAAGGCTGTGATGGATGACGCGTTGGAGGCGCCGTCGTATTCCAGCTGACCTGTCCACAGTTGTCCCTGCTCATAGGCGTCGAAAGTGAACTTAGTGACAATACCAAAGTTGCTTCCACCGCCGCGGAGAGCCCAGTACAGGTCAGGGTGGGAGTTGGGAGACGCCGTGACGATGCTGCCATTGCCCAAGACAACTTCGTAGTCTAAAACGTTGTCACATGTCATGCCATGGAGGTTGCTCAACCAAGAGATCCCGCCTGCAGACGGTCAGCGTACAACACAGAGACAAGCCGTAGGGAATAGACATACCGCCTAGAGTGAGACCGCCGACGCCGACGCCGAACATCCTTCCACCAGGGATGGTGAGGTTTTGCTCTTGTAGGATGGGATACACGCTGGACCACCGGCCACCAGGCCCGACAACAGCCGACTTTTTGTCATCACTCACGACGGTTTCGTTCATACGGGCGAGGTCAACCACCAAACCGTCCTCGATGGTGGATGCTTCGAACGAGTAGTGACCTCCACTCTTGACTGCAAATTGACACTGGCCATCTCGAGCAATGACAACTGCCCTCGAAACTTCATTTGCGCTCGCAGGGGCAAAAAAGCAGGTCGGAGAGGCGGAACTTTGGATAGTCGACCAGAAGGATGTCTGATCCAAGGCGTACGCAGTTTCGTTTCTCAGAAGAACCTGGTTCGGGAACTCCTGGTGGAGGTTGCGATACTTTCACGCACGGTAAGTATACTTTCATTCTTTTGATCTTTCCTTCGTTTTACGCTTATAAAAAAATAAGTGCCAGGATGGACCTACAACTCCGTCACAGCCATGGAAAGCGATTGCCTTGGCGTGACTGAAAGCAGTGAAGCCGGCCAAAATGGCAGCAGCGATTGACCACGAGAAACACATCGTGGTTCAGGCGGAAATCAGTGTGGGAAACAGGTGTGTTAGGAACGATGGTGATGCAGAACCACCTGCTTTGAACACAGTGTCGAGGTTCATGATGGGGTCATATTATAGATTATCCTCAGCAACAAGAGATGCATGCCAGCGGTACGGAGACCGAATGGCTCGCAAACAAACAATCATTGTGCCCATTCGGCACCCGAACTAGAAGCGCCGTCTGCATCGAGTGCTCGGGTATCCGCGGACTTGCACCAGGGCAAGGAAGCAGGCCTAGTCAGTGGATGTTTCTGTCGTGGACAGCATCACGATTGGATACCACGTGGATACTTGCTTAGTAGTGAGTGTCGCCGTAAGCATACCTAAACAGAGTTTTTCTTAGTGGTGCGAACCCCCACGCCACGCAAACTGTCTCGAAAGTTAATTAGCAGAAGCTCGTCCACGCACGGCCGCGGGCCCAACGGCTGCCGAAATAACTTGCATGCACTGCTAGTATTGGGACAAACCTACCACTGCCGTTCATCCCAACCTTCTTCCTCCCGTGGCTGTAATTACAACGTCAAGCTCTGAGCGCCATAATCGTTACGCAGAGCTTATGATCCAATCACAAAACAAATCTTAATCACGGCGACTTCGTTCCAATAATTTGGTTCCTTGCACACACACTCACACCGATCACCTGTGCTCACTAAAGTAGTTTCAAAGGATCAATGGATCCGAAAACACCTGAGCGATATCCTCGCAGCAGCCTTATCGCAATCCGACCACTATCTTAGGGATTCAAGAGCTGGTCACTTTGATATGCGTACTAATACAAGACACGGAATCTCTCAGGGGAATCATCACAGACTGTAGCTCTTTTTCTGGTGCTGGAGTATCCTCCTGTTTTCGAACTCAATTCAGACCATGTCTACCACACTTCAACGGAACATGTATAGTAACCGATAGAAAAGGAAACTTCGCCATGTCAGCCTTGCCTGTCTGTTTACATTGAATCATCGTATCCTTGTAAGAATGTATCTTCTGCCTATGTGAGCATCGTCTGGCCATGTCTATTCGTATTGCTCTTTCATTATAAATTCATGGTGTCATACTTATCTGGAGACTGACTAGCATTCATGGGAAGCCTTTGTCATTCACAATTAGGTTGGTGCATCTTTTTGGGTCCCTCATGGGAACGGCATGCATGATGTAGTAGAATAGACAACATACAACAGAGGCTTATTTAATCCAGGCAGCATTGAAGAACGATTCACGCATGTGACGGCCCAGAAGGCTGCGGCGAGGTCTTGGCTGCATGTGGTCATGTGCCCGTCAGCGCTGCATGGAAAATCAGGCTGCCTCCTCCTTCTTTGGGGTCTACAGACGCGGATGTACACAGGAAGATAATTTCCGTGGTTTTGGCTGCTTTCCGACCACTGGGCTTGAAAGAAGTAGCCCCATTGATAGATCCACCAATGAATGACGAACCAGTCAGAGAAATCATCGGAGAATGCGGCTGTCTTTTGGTTCTTAGGGATGGAATTGTCCATTTTGTACACCAGTCTGCAAAAGACTTTCTGTTCGAACAATGTCTCGATGAGGTTATGCCTTTGGGAATCAGCCATCAACATACCATGCTGTTCTCGAACGCGTTGCGAGCTTTGTCAGTCACCCTTCGGAAAAACATACCAAATATGACCGTATATGGAGATCTCGGAGACGAAACAACGATTCCCGACCCTGATCCTCTTATACCAATTGAGTATGCGTGTGCTCATTGGGCTCAACATCTATGCGAGGGACTCACGCCTACAGCGCAAGAGTTTGATCAAGTCCACGCCTTTTTGAGAGAACATTACTTGCACTGGCTGGAAGCTATGAGTCTGATCCGAAGCATGTACGAGAGCATAGCTTGCATTCTCAGGCTGAAAACATTTGATCCAGGTATGCTTGCGACAAAGAGAGGCTTAGGTCGAGCCCAATATTGACTAATCGTATTCAGAATTGTGCAGAGTCATCTTCGCTCGCAAATCTTGTTCATGACGCCTCTCGATTTGCCAAATATTTCTGCGCCGGCATAGAAGAAGATCCACTGCAAGTATATTCATCTGTACTGTTTGCTCCTACCCGTAGCATTATCAAAACTCTATACCAGCATGAGGAGCCGCAAGGGTGGTCCGTACAGATGGTACCCCCAAGAGACGATGAATGGGGAAGGTGTTTACAAACTATTGAGTTGACTCAACCGTGTGAACTTGCAAGTGTGGTGTTCTCCTCAGATGGGAAGGCCCTGGCACTGGATGTTGGCCTGGGAGATATACAAGTACGAGACGCTGAGACAGGGGGTTGGCTCAATGTCATTGAGACTGAACTGTACTGCTGCTCATCTTTGGCTACTTCTGGTGGTCATATCCTTGCCGCGGCTTCCGGCGGCGACGTCTTCTTGTTTAACATGTTGACAGGCGAGGAGGTTGGCGAACCAATTGAGACTCGGGACGTCGCCTTTGCACCCAACGGATCAGTTCTAGTAACGGGCTCAACGGAAGGAGCTGTACGTTTATGGGACACGCAAACACGCGAATGTCAGCGAACACTACAGGCGAACAACCAGAGGGTCTCTGTTGAATCGGTTGCATTTTCGTCGACTGGTCTCTACATTGCAGCCGCCGTTGACAGCGTTATCATGGTTTGGGATGTGAATACGTCCTCGCACTTGCGGGCATTAATCAGCCACAAAGAGACGGTCAAACTAGTTGCGTTTGCTTCCGATAACTACCACCTTCAGTCTGCATCTTCAGATAGTACGGTAAAGACGTGGGATGTGGCCACCTCATCATGTCTCAGGACGACAAACATTCCCATGGGGCGATGGGAAAAGGTGGCCTTTTCAAACAACCTAACCAAGGTTGCTTGCACATGTTCTTTCAGTCCGATTCAACTTTGGGATGCCACAACGGGCTGCCTGCTTGAGACACTGCAGCAAGACGGTGACATTCAATCCCTGGCGTTCTCCCCAGACGACGATTTGCTCATGTCTGCGACGTATTTTGATGGCACCATAAGCCTTTGGGATCTTACAAATAACATAGAATCCGATCTCAAACCGCTTAGCCAAAAGGATCAACACATCTGCTCGATCGCGTTCTCTTCCGATGGGTCCCACATTGCAGTGTTATCGGCTAGCGATTTGAAGATTTGGGATACCAATACGGGCCAATGTTTGCAGAAGCTCGACGAATGGAAGGCATCTTACAGCGGAGCATCGGTAATATTCGGCAGCAACGGTATCCTGCTTGCGAAGAAGTCCGAAGGCAATGGAAATGTTGCTGAGATATGGAACGTTAGTACAGCGACGTGCCTGCAATCACTCGCTGATGAAAGGATCTCTACCATTAGAGGTCTAGAGTTCTCACCCGACAGCGCCACACTTTCGATACTGACCGAAGACATCGTCAGTCTCTGGGACGTTGCTGAAGGCAGTTGCAGAGTAGTTTACAAGATGCCTGATCACCGCTACGCGTCTAACGACGTGAAGTCTTCAGAGACAGGATTTCACCTTTACAACTACGATTGGGAAGACGGCGAAAGAGCTATTAGGTGGGAAGGCAAAACAACTGCTGCCCCCATGGGGATTGGAGTTGCGCCACTTGAACCACTTCATATTCCAGGCTACAGTATCCAGAACCACCAGACATGGGTCAAAAAGGATGGGGAGAATATTCTTAGGATTCCTCCAGAATATCGAGCTACTACCTACGCCATTCGGGGCTCGATGATGGCGCTGGGTGATGACGCAGGCCGCGTTACCATTCTGCGATTCACGTAGTTGGCTTGCAAACGTACCTAGGTGCACCAACATGCAGGTTTTCTACCTGCGCATATCTCAACCCTCCTAGTCTGATCATCTCAAATGTTTAGCATCCGACTCCTGCCACGGGAACTTAGTCTCAATTGACCGAATGAGGTTCTCATGGTGTGCAGATTTGGGGTTGATAGAAACCTCGAATGGTGCCGGATGGCTGATCACACCCGGATTGAACTCTGCTTCAGGCTCAATCACTTTACCGTCGACAACAGGGCTCTCGATATTGAATACGGCAAGCGATTGTGCGAAGTTGAGGAATAACGAGTTCTCAGCAAGAATCTGTCCAGCACATATGCGACGACCATAGCCGAAAACAATCTTACGCGGATCCTTTTCTGGCTTGGGGCCTTGAAATCGTTCTGGTCGGAATTCCATGGGGTCTTGGTAGACCTCGGGGTCATGGGTAAACCACCTTTGAGAGTTAGTATACGTTGCATTAAGGTCCCTCTCACCTTTCCAAGCCTGGAATTAAAGACGAGGTATGAGTTTGAAAACGAACACAAGACATACCATACGTTTGGCATCAAGTATGAATCTTTCGGAATCAAACAATTGCCAAAGACAACATCTTGATCACATGAATGCGGAAGACCCATGGGACCAATGGGATGCCACCGTAGGATCTCTAGAACGATTGCTTCGATGTACGGCAACTTATCGCGATCTTCAAGATTAGGAAGGCGCTCGCTGCCAATGACACGGTCGATCTCTTCCTGTGCCTTCTTCTGCACCTCGGGGTACTTTGCCATCGCGAGGAAGAATGTGGCTATTGATGCGACAGACTAGGCGATGTGTCAGCTTCATCAGCTCCCACAGTAGTGGACACAACGAGATATGACATACCGTATCTGCTCCGCCACCGAATAGGGATGCTGCAGTCCACTTGTTGTTGTGCACGTTCTCGGGGGTGTCTTCGCTGCTCAACATCGCTCGTGAGAGATACGATTCGTTCTTCTTCCCCGAAGCCAACTGGTCTTCTACGAATTTGTATCCGGTGTCGACGGTCTCTTTTAGTTCAACAGCCCACTTGTTGGCGATTTTCTTCCATCCAGCTCCGGGAAACCATTCAGGAACATATCGCACTGCAGGAATTCAGCGATGTCTGGAATAAAGCTACGGGGAAAAGAAATGAAGATAATCACTTACGAATTGGGATGATGTCGACAAGAAAGTTCCCAGGGGTAGCTGCGTAGGCAAAGTGTTCCATAGCGTCATTCATCATCCCAGTCAAGGGGTCTTTCTTGAACTGTTCGGCATTGTAGCCGTAGACAATATTCAGAATGACAGAGCCAGCTTCTCTGAACCCCACATCCGCCGTCAGCAGATAGTAGAGGCATGTCCATTGATAGTTTTACTGACCTTGCGATATGCTCCGTGAGTTTCTTCGGGTTGTCGAGTACATGCAAGAGGAAGTGGCCGACCTCGGCCTCTTGCAACGTATTGTACTGTGCTGCCGTTGATCTCGTTCCAAGAATCCGAGAAAAGACTTTCCGATGGAGGCGCAGAGTGTCATCGTATCTCAGCTGCCCTGTGCCGTCGTTCCATCCGACCCTGGTAGCTAGTCAGATCCCGAGAAGAGAGGTAATTGGTGCTAGGAGAGCTATATCCTTACATTTCGCCTGCAAGGACGATGGTCGGCCGGGACGAAAACTCGGAGGAACGCTTGTCAAGCATTTCAGATGCTACCTGGGCATCATTGATGATAATCAATGTCTTACCAAGCACCTGTACGGAGCTGATCGGACCTGCACAGAGGGTGTGAGCCAAAATACTCGGTGAGTGATAGTCGTGCAATATCTTGCAGCCTTACCATATAGATCCTTGTGCTTCAGCCAAAAGCGAGCTGCGAATTCGGTCGGCTGAGGCAAGTCGCGAATATTCCCAACGAGCGGCAGCCCCTTTGGGCCGGGTGGAAGAGGGGGGCGGCTGGCATTCTTCCTCGCTTGGAGAAGCTTATCGACGATGAAGACCGCAAGAATGGTGGCAGCGAAGCCAATGAACAGAGAAGAATCTTTCATCGTGGAGAACGGGAACTCTATTGCATGTGACGAAAGTCCCTTTGGTCGACAGTTTCGGAGACCGGGAACCAGGGAAGGTTTCTCGTATTATGTAGTAGGATCTCCCAAACCTAGTCGTGACCCCGCCGCCCAAGTCATGGTCAGTGGGACCTCTATCATACGCAGGTGACGAAAGTGCCGACCTCATGAGATGAACCTCTCACATGGCGAAAGAATGACTACTCCACAGACGGGGTTAAGATAATGGCGTAGTGTGGACTGCAGTCAGCTTACCGTCGTGCCGAGATCTGAAGTGTTAATCATGCTTCATGCGGGAAAGGGCCCGAACAAGGGAAGGGTTTCATTGAAGTTGGGTCGCGCGAATCATATCGGCAAGATATCCGCTGCGTCCGCTAGCTCCGTGTTGTCGCGAAGCGGAGTGCCTCCGGGCCATGCATTTGGCCGTGGCGATGGCCGCACGCTGCAGCGGCCCATATCACGGGCATATGGTGGTTACGTGGGAACGCGGCATTTGGTGGAGAAGCCGAGCAGAACCCGTCTTTGAGCCTCAAGTTCACAGATCAGCCTGGAGACTGCCCCAATCATCTGACGCGGTTTACCAATCGTGACTTCTGTTTCTGTCTCGGTATGTGGGATCTGGAGCTTCCTCGTCAGTCATTGCTTTTTCCCGAAATTCTCGAGCCTGCCTGTTTCTATCCATGTCGGTCAAGGAACCCGGGCTCCACCGAGTTAAACCAAAATACGTGTAGTTCGGCGATGTGATCCCACCCGGTCATGCATGTAACCATATGAGACAGCATTGTTCAGGTTACATGCAGATGTTGCGTTCAATCAATCCAGTAAGCCCTAGGGTCTATCGGAAGACCACTTCATACGATTTACCGTTTGTGTCAAATCTTCCCATGCAGTGGAAAAGCTTGGACCATACAGAGGTTCAAGACTCGGCGAGGTTCACTAATTGGTCGTCGGTAACATACAGCTGATGAAACGTATTCCATCACTTCTCATGGACCCCTCTGACCTCGTACAAAGGTTCACACATCCAACACCGGACCCGAATCCCCGTAAATCGGATCTTTTGCAAACCATTCGAGTTTGCTGATGGTCGCAACCTTGCTCTCCTCCCCCTTCTTGCCATAGCACATGTCCCAATGACATCCGACAGGATAGCTCCCCACCATCTCGAACCGTCCGTCGATATCCTCTAGCAGCCTATGGGATACCCCAGCAGGGACAACAATGACATCTCCCTTCTCCACCACCGGTTCGACACGGCCCTCATTCTCCTCTCCTCCAAAGCACAGCCTTGCCCGCCCATTGCTGATGCAAAGCAGCTCATGGGTCGTGCTGTGAAAGTGAGACGTGCTGTACATGGTATATCGCCATTGCGGCTCGACGACGCCGACTGAGGAAAGATGCGCCTCTATGGAGGACGCGCTTGTAGATGGGAAGGCGGAATGGTAGATCAGCAATGGCTTGTTCTGGATGCTGGTGTTTGGAAGCAAGCCATGTGCCGGGATGAAGTGCTTAGAGACGCGCAAAGACGAAAGCGGCGTCAGTGAGAGTTCAGAGCTCATTGTAGGCTTTGTGCAGAGTTTTGTAGATTGTATCGAGAGTGTTGACGCAGTTATCGCTTCGTAAGTTGGACTGACGAAGTTGAAGACGACTCAAGGATGGGTGAAGTTGAGGGAACGCAAGTGTGACGTCATATGAGCGGGTTGTGAGTGTAAATGTCATGTCTGACGACTTTCATGCCTGAACTCCCGTTCATCGCTGCAGCTCGTCCATTATGAAATATTGTAAGATTGAATAAAAGCTAGAACAGCCCGATTAATTGAGGTAAACAAAGAAGCATTGAAATAAGATGCAGAAAGTGAGTTCAGGGGTCACCCGAAGTCCAGCCATGAGAAAGATAACGGGGAACAAGCTTGCAATTCTGTTCTTCTAATTCGCAAGTACCGATTCCTGGGTTGTTGCCACTGCAGGTCCCAAAAGTTGCATTTATAATGACCTCTGATTTGTTCCCCCTGGAATGGATAGGCTGGTGGGTATTTACCAGTTCGCCTTCATTCCTAATAGAGAAAACCGTAAATCCTACTGTCGCGCAACCAATCAAGACACTCCAAGACCTCAGCGCCTGCAATTCACGCCGAAATAGGTATCCAACGTAAGACCACGATAGGGGACCATGGCCCTGCGTACTCTCCATCAAAGCTGACGTGTCTATTCACTCAGTACTCCGGGCCAAAGTTCCATCTTACTCTATTCAGTCCGTAACGCCAAAATCCGATAACCCGGCAAAATATTCTCATGCAACGTCTTTCCAAGACTCTTGAATCGAAGCCCAGTACTTCTCGGGGTGCATGCGCATGTGTCCCACGTGGTCGCTGTCCTCGAACACAACGGCCTTGTGCTCAAAACCCGCCTTCTCTCCTGCGGCGATATTCTCCTCAATCTCGGTGTATGAGATGATCCTGTCGCTCTTGCCGTAGAAATATAACCTACGCAGGTTCTGCGGCACAAACGTGATATCGTTGGAAGCCTTCATGCTGAAGACGGGAGCTGGCTCGGAGCCCGTGGCGAGCTGGTAGCCACGGTGCACCGCCAACAAAAAGCCGACAAACGTTTGTGTGACGATGTAAGGCAGCGGGACAAACGGCGCGACAGCCATCGCAGCCGCGTTGGCCCAGCGCTTCAACGTCTCCCATGTCATGTAAGGGCTCCCCGGCGTCGAGTCCCAGACGGTGAGGCGATGCGGCATCGGCTTGCTGTACCTGTCGCGGTACGCCTTGAGGGCGGAGGCGTAGTTGATGGCGCCCGTGTTGGACATGCCGTGCGTGAGGACGGCGTCCTCGTCGGGGGTGCCGAGGACCTCGGGCGGGTAGGCGCCCTCGACGACGGGGGCCATGCTGGCGGCGCGCTGTTGCAGGCTCTCGGAGATGGCCTTCACGATCGGTGAGAGTACGGCGATCTGTTTGGCGTGCGGGTAGAGTTTGCTGTAGCCCTCGATGTATTTCACGACGTGCTTCGGTACGGCGTCGCCCCAGCTGAAGATGATGACGACCCGCGGATGGCCGGAAGGGCGCGTCGTGCCCTCTGCGAGTTCCTCGCCGTCGCGGACGAAGACTTGATCGTTGATGGCCGTGAAGCCGGGGAAAGGGGCTGCTTTCGGTGCCATCGTGAGTCTTTTTCTTCACAAAAAATACAGAAAATGAGCGTAATGTGACCGGTGAGCACTGTTAGTGATTAAAGATGACAGCAAAGTTCAAAGTGCAGCGCGCGTCAGCAGGGAATGACAGGATTCATATGTTGTCGCTGGCCAAGCAGAGACTTCCTGATGAGTGATCCGCTCCATCTCGGCGATATCTTATCAAGGGCTCCGAACCCAGTGCCAAGGGAACGGGTCTACGCGGCGGCGCCGCATTGTTGGGACACCGTGGATCCTACGGCCGTCTGTTGGGACTGAATCGGAGCATTTGTAGCCTTACGAGGGTCCTAATCTGAGATGGACCGTGGGGACTTCAGTCGAGGTACGGCGCGTACAAAAGACGCGGCATCTCTTAATTCGGCAGCGTTGTCCGTGTTTGTCAAGCCCCCTTTCTCTTAGTGAGTGGCTTGGATGAGGTGAGATTTTTGAGTGAGAGCGCCACTGAAATATGAGCTGGCCAATATCAGTAAACATCCGATTCCGGCCCACTTACCGAGGCAGAAGGACTCACCGATAGCACAAGCGCAGGAGGATTCAGCGGACGATGGCAGAGTCAGGTGACAGCCTTAGAAGCCGAGGCACAACTGAGCGGGATGTCGGGCGAAACAGCTGCCGACCAGCCAGAAGAGGGCGGAATTGGAGATTCAGTCCGCTGAATTGTAAAAGATGGCCGCGCTGTTCCAGAACGTGGTCCACTGTGACCCCTGTGTTTTGGGAGAGGAGCTTCCCCGGATTCTAGTGACGTGGGATGCATTTTCAATTGCCATAGCTTTCTTCATCTTCATACAGACTGTATTACTGATCCTTTGAGCTCACGACTGTCCGTTGTACCCGGTACTTCTCTATTTCTTGGTCCATTGAGCGTTTATGTGGCTATATCGAGCAGAATAGTCTTCAACTCATCCTTGTGTTCTGCTCCTCAGGGTGTACCCTCGACCTTCATCAAGCCAGCTCATCTTACCTGCGACTTCAAATGGCATCCACATCAGAACAGCTGGTTCCCTTCAATGATGCGACTCACGTAACAAAAGTAGACTCAAACGTCTACCTCGCCAATCTTGCATCTGCCTGGTGCATAGGCTCAGGTCCGTAACTGGACGCGCGCATCTCACACAGCCCATCCCATCTGACGCAGCTCTCACAGTACCAAACGGCGGCTACGTCGCCTCCGTCATCCTCCGCGCCGCGTCCGTCCACCTCGCCGCACGCGGCCAGCCGGACACCATCTCGGCTCACTTCGAGTACCCAAACCGCACGGAGGTCGGGCCGGCCATCCTCATCGTCGAAGAGGTAAAACTCGGCCGCAACCTGTCAACGGTGCACATCACGCTCTACCAGCACGAGCTCCTCCAGTCCGCGCCGTGGTTCAGCGCCAAGTCGCGCAGAAATGTCCTCGCCTACCTCACCAACGCGCGCATAAGCCTCGAAAAGGGCCTCACCCTCGACAGCGGGTGGACGATGGCGCCCCCGCTGAAGCCGGTGGACTTCGCCGCGCTTGGCCTGGACAAGGATCCCCACTGGTTCCGACGGGACAAGATGACGGCCCGCGCCGTGTCGTTCGCCCGCGCGCACAACAACCTCGAGCACTACGTCCCGCGCGAGGGCGTGCGCCGTGGCATGGCGGACATGTGGCTGCGCTTCAAGGCCGGGCAGAGGTTCACGAACGCGTCGCTGGGCTACATTGCTGATGCGTATCCGACCATCGTCGAGGCGTGGCGGCCACGGCGCGGCGAGGAACAGACGCCGTTCCGGTCGGATGAGATGTTTTGGTACCCCACGCTGTCGCTGAATCTCGACGTGAAAAGAGCGCTGCCCGAGGACGGCGTCGAATGGTTGTTTATCAGGTGTTTAGCGAAGGTCATTCGGAACGGAAGACTAGACCTAGAAGTGATCATCTTAGATCAGGACCAGAACGTAGTGGCCTTGAGCAATCATGTCAATATGGTCTTGTCGGCTGAGCGAAATCTCATGGACAGGAGTCACTCGAAGGAGAAGTTGTAGGGGCACAAGGTGGATATTTGTAAAGCTGAAAGATGATCGTGCTGTAGAGGGTCAATAGAGCTGGCGTTTTGGCGTTCCACAACACTGTCAGATCGGTTGCGCCCACTCCCACAACTGGACCAGGCCAATGGCATAGATCCAGTACAATTAGGCCGCTTCTTTTTAACCCGTGACTCGGACAATCTTTCATACTTGAGCTCATTTTTTTCCACATGTCTCGGTGCTCTTCATGCTCTCCACTCACTTCCCCGGCTGCGGTTCAGGGACTTTGGTTCACGATAAGTCCCACTCATGACCCGCTGTTCTCATCATCGTGCATCTATGAGCTGCAACCACACCGTCTCTGACCAACCATTGGTTTCTGTCTACAGAAATCCGATATCGGCTCAATGGTCTAGTGGTATGATTCGCCCTTCGGGTGCTTGTGCAACATCACAACCCTTCCGCACAGCGGGAATGGGCGAGGTCTCGGGTTCGATCCCCGATTGAGCCCTCGCAATCGTTTTTGATTTTTGCTACAACTGTGAACCTAGGCTGTTTTTGCTCAGGGAAGGAACCCCTCATGTTTTACGACGATTGATGATACTAGCTGTCTTCTATAGTAAAAGGATCTGGTTGCGAAAGAAGGGGGATGTGCTTAATTAGATTCAATTGAATTTTCCCCTTCTGTGGTGAGGTGTATTTAGATTACCCAGAGCTCCGAATAACCTAGACGAGGTTTTCCAGTGTCCTATTCAAGAGGCAAACGCCTTGGGTCCTGTAGCCACGGGCGCCAAGATGCCATGCAGCGCCAGCTCTTCTATGAAGTTGAAAAGAACAAAGTCGCATCCCCTCTTTACAACCACGTTGATGGTCACGGGCATCGACACCTCCTGGTGAGTGACGTTACTGTAATACGAAACCTGTCCAATGGGAATTGTAAAGTCAGCGCTGCCAAAGTATGATGCCAGGATTGATCCAGCCTCCTTGGACCCAGTGGCATCAGGAAGTGCTGCGCCAGGCGAGTCGTTCAGGTAGGCCTCTCGGAACGACGGCAAGCCGCCTGTGCCGATGTCGTAGATCAAGATAGATTCCGAACAGCTGTCTTCCGTGCTAAACAGGACCTCGCTGTGCCAAGACTCTGAATCGTCGTGTCTTCGCTGCAGCGCTTCGGTATGTTCTTTGGCGTCTAGTGTGCGATTCCACCAGGACGAACGGAACGGTTGATCCAACGCAGGAAAATTGGGGCTGAAGTAGTCCAGGAGGGGGGTGGCCACGACCTTGAGCTGCGTGTAGGTCCAGAGAGTCCTCAAATCGGTCAGAATGCCATCGTAGACACGCCCAGTGACGCTTTCAACTTTCTCAGTGATGTTGATCTTCTCAATTGACAGGCCCATGGTCTGCGTAACCTGATCCAAGAAGCTCTGAAGGACAACCTCCGCCGCTGGGTTCCTAAGGGGAAGACGATCCGTAGGGTAGAAGATGCGTTTCGGAAAGCTACGTGCATCCGGTACTTCGAGTTCAGGAAGGTCGTTGAGATCGCTGCCTTGATGAAGTGCGGGATCGTACCAAACCTTGGCGAATTGGACCCAATCTCGAGGATCTCTGGCAAAGACACCCGCAGTATCAGTTCCGTAAGATATGGGCATGGCCCCAGTCAAGTCGATGATTCCCTGCGAGGGGCGATTCCCGTACACGCCTGCAAACGCCGCCGGCTGGCGCATGGACTGGCCAGTGTCGGAGCCGATAGCAAAGTCTAGCCACTCATAAGCCGCGATCGAACAAGCACCGCCGGCGGACGATGCGGAACAGCTCAGATATCCATCCCCACGAGGGTTCTGGGGGTAGTAGACATCGGTCCACTCCCAAGCGTGGGCTGCGGACGCAAACTGAGACGTCTTTTGCTTTCCCACGACAACGCCCCCGAGGTCGATGATGCGTTGAATGGATGGGGCTGTTGCGTTTGCCTCGCCTATCATACTCGTCCAGGCCTTACTCCCCAGCGTCGTCTTCAGGCCTTTGACATCGTAGATGTCTTTCACGCCAACTCTCTTGCCAGCTAGGGGTCGAGTGTCGACTTGACTGTAGAGGCGCGATGGAACAGGAACTAGCGGATAGCCCCATTCAGGATCGACGAGGTTCAGAATTTTGTGTTCTCCATCTGATTCGTAAACGCCATGTACAAAATTGCTGTAGGTATCCGTGTACAGACGAAAGACTTTAGATAGTTTGATGGTTCCTTCGTCGGATTCTAGAAGCACTGGTCCTGGAGGGGGTACTGATGATGTCGAGTTGGTCGAAGCAGGCAAGAACAGGATCTGCGACCCGATAGACTCAACCAAGCTGCGTGCGGTAGGATCCAGCCCTGAGGAGTAGTTTGAGCTGATGATGATGGTTTCCAGGAAGTCTTCGGTAAACACGTCGTCCTCGGCGAGGTACCTATCAAAAGTATCCTGCAGTAACTGAGCTGTAATGAGCGGGCTTGTGGCAACGATATGCGTCGCCGCAACGGTGACCGGCTTGTAGTTCAGGGGTGCCTCCAATAGAGGTGACGCGGATGTCGCTAGGAAGCTGCTGTTCCCCACCTGGAAAATGGAATCAAGTCCATTGATCGCCTGGACAGGAACGAGCGGGCTTCGTAGAGCCAGGGCACTGGCGATGCCAGCCAGGCAAACCAATTGAAGGCCTTGGTTCAACATCAGCGATAAGTCGAATGAGTGGTCTGGGAATCCTGGCGTGGCGCCATGTTGGTACGGATAGACCGAGTCTTCTCCAGCGTATAAATACATCGTAATTGCAGTACTTGCAGCTTCCTCGTGAGGATTGATCCTGTTGTGAGTGTATATTCCACAAGCCAAGAAATCCAGACGTCACTCGTGGCGCCTCCACTGATAAGACCTGCATGTCTCAAATCAGACGAACATGCCGTTCCCCGCTTGTCTGCTCCGACTCCGGGGCCGATGCATGGCGTTTGAGCCCCGATGCAACGGACTATCTCCACCTTTTCTCATATCCGAGCGGAACACATATTCCGCTTCCGTCGCTCGGCGTCGACTGGCCACTGTCAAGTCCAACCACGCGAGATTCTCACGTCGAGTATGACCTCAATTAGAACATATGGGACGGGCCTTATCTCCTTTCTTACGTTATCTTGGCTGTCACCGTTATTTCCTCCACAAAGGTCCGTCGGGGACAATCTACCAACAGGATGTACTACCTACCTGGACGTAACAACTCTAGCAAGGGACCGGCTGGGGCTATTATCAATCCAATCCCATTTTCTAGTCAAATGTTTTGTAGAAGTCAATTCTTGGACCAGAATTTGCGAGTCAATTAAACGTAATAATCTGCTCTAAAACAGTTGCCTGGACACGACCTGCCGTGCAGGGTAGCTTAAAGCAGATGGATACACGTAAAATTGTGTGTATACAAGGGGGAGGCAGGATTCTCCAGAACAGCTTTCATCTAATCCAGATGAGAAGAAAGTAATATGTGTGTATTCACAGCAATGGTTGTGATTCGCCAGCCTTGTCCTTTGGGGCTGAATTTCTGTCTCATTCTCAAGCCATCTTCATCTAACAAGCTGCGGATTGAGAACTCTTTGGCTCCTAAAAGATTGCAAGGAGACTTGGAGCCCTCCCGAAATACAAGTTAAGTTCTCTGACCCCTGCCACAACCCCAACGTCTTTTCATAATTTTGGTCCCGCTAAGCGACCTGTCTAAGCAAGAACCGTTATCTTCACCCCGACCGCCAAGCCCCTCAGCCCAGCGACGGAGCAAGCAGAATGTATGTGTGAACCTAGTGAATGAGAAAACGTTATGCTTGAAGGAACATCCCAACTCCTCTCCTCACGGGCGGTCCATAGTTTGGCTGGTACTGTGAGTTGCTTACCACGCCAAAGACATTTAAAACAGCTGAACAGGGTTATGCAACATCCCAAGCGGCATTAACTCACTACTAGTTTGCATAACTGGGGCTGAAGATCCAATAGCCTATTGGTGGGCAGGTATGGCCTTTGAAGGAGTCGCTGCCCTGCAAGCTGGGCATAAGCGTGTAAGCCGAGCTTTGTCTTCAAGCGGCCTGGAAATGCGAAGGCTGTCTAGAGAGCCTGTGGCTCGTACATATCTTTTGAAGAGCTTCGGATAGGCTATGGCCAAGAACGCTTATTGAGCACGTCTCATTGGGCAGTTCGCTTTGCAGACATGCCTTCGATGGTGCCTGTCGTGGCGTTGCTTGAAAGTGTTCATTTTGAATAAGCATCTGCTATTCTCTAGAAATCCCAGATCGCTGACAAAACCCTTCTGTAGGTGGCAATGATGAGGCCGTTTGCACGCTTCCCGCCGCGCCACGCCCCCCCCCCTTGTCCACAGATGATACTACCACTGCCAAGCCGCTGACACTGGGGTATTGAGAATCTGACAATATCATCAACTCAGCCTCGAGCCTGGCAAAATCGTAATCGGTCTCTCCGTACTCGTAAATTTAGCTTCTCGACTTCCAAGTAGGCCACGATAAGACTATAAGTAGGACATTCTCGCACGGCAACAGATTGCTTTCTCCTCACAAGCTTCTTCACCAGTCCAGACTTAACTTTCAACTTCTCGTCATCTCAGAAAACAACCGCCAACTCTAGACGATCAAATCCAAAGTTGGATTCCAATATACTAAGTCTTCATTCACGCAGCTCAAACATATTCAATATGCACATCACTCAGACCTTTGCACAATTCCTTCTTATGGCCACCATGGCCGCCGGCCTGCCCCAGCCCACCGCCAACGAGCCGTAAGTGTTTATTGAGGCGCCAACTTCGCAGACCATAGCCAGAAACTGACACAGGACGAACAGTGAGGCGCAGGACATCGAGAAGCGTATCGAACTCAGCCCTGAAGGGTCAGACCCCTTGAAGTGGTGCAGCCAGCACCGCCCCGCCAAGGACGAGCTCCAGCTGATCAGCTTCGTGGGCCACTACACCCATTTCAACGGCCAAAAGATCGGCTCCCACGCCTCCCAAGGCTGGGCCTATCTCCTCGACCAGTCGTGCAGCCGTCTCGTCCACGTGGCCCCGTACGAGCCCATAGGCAGCGGCGCCGGCCACAAGGCCTTGATGGGAATGTCCTACGACGGCGCCGGCCCCGAGCCCGGCTGGCAGATCACCATCGAAGCGATCGCCCGCTATCTGGGCCCCAACCAGGGAGCCGCCAGTGCCATTGTCAGCATCAACGGGGAGAAGAAGCCAAGTGTCTGCACCGGTCCCAAGAGCGACAGAAACAAGCTGAACGTCAACAAATACAGCGTCTGCAACTTCAAGCCCGGCTCCGTCTGGCCCAAGCCCTGGTGGCCTTACGGCAACGGCTACAACTAGAACGCCTTGGGAAGGCACACACAGACAGGGACATGTGCATTACCTCGAGGGTACTTGTGTTTTAGCTGGAAGGGCAATCAGGGACATTCATTTTGTTGCGATGGACATTAGCTTCAACTAGAAGGGCCTGGTGGAGGCACATGCACATAGAAAGTACACGGGTCATGGAGTCATGGTTGGAGTTACCTTCGGGTGTTAGACTTTCTTTCTGTTTTCTCTCAATCATCAATGTCGTTTGTTTCTCGGGTAGACGCATCCTTCGGGCGTACTTTCAAATATATTATTGGGTCAAGTGTTTCTCGCCGGCTTGATAACGCCCCCAGATGTAAACTCGCAAAGGTCCACGAGCCCGATCATTCAAGGTACAACCATGGATGACCATGTCGCACTATGCCAAGAGAATAGGTGACAATTGCGGACGACCGCAGATCGTGTAGCCAGGCGTTTCGCTCTCATCGCGTACGGGATATCAATCCATTCTCGTACATTGAGGCTCAGCAAGCCAGCCGTCTTTTCCATTCGAGCTTGGTCATTGGTCCTCACTACTAGCTACAGAGCAGCCATGCCATCGAATAACCGCGAAAGACCTTCGAGACTCGAGCGCACATCCCACGAGAGGATATTCATAACGCTCCCACAGGACTATGGACGCAGCTACGAGAAGGAGGAGATAACCCTTCAGGACAGACAACCCCAGACTTCCGCCAGCGTCTCGGGAGGTCGCCCGCCCCTGACGATCAACATCACCAGTGCCCCGCAAGACCACGAGAGCTGGTACTCCCTACCTCCTATTATCAGCATTGGGCCTGAGCAGTCACGGCCGATCCCACCTCACCGACTTACAAGTGCTGTGATGCAGCAGCTATACCCACATCTGAATCGCGAGACGGCGCCGCCTTACTCCGAGGACGACCCGGAAGCACCGAAAACAGACGAGCCTCGGCAAACCCAGGAGCCAGAGGATGACTTCATCAAAAGGGGCCATAATTCCACGACCAGGATGGTGGATCCTGGGCAGCATGCCATCGTGGCTCGAGGTGCTGTGTATGGGCCCTTTCCTGGCGTTGCCGGTTCGTGAGTAGAGTCATGTTGAGCGTTTCCTTTGTTGCTGATGCTGACCTAGGCATCGTGAAGTTTTCATCTTCTTCGTTCACCGCGACATGAACGCAACACGGAGGTGGTGACCGTAGGGTACCCCGGTGGGGTTCTTGTACCGGTCTAGTCTCGAACAGCTCAAATTCCAAGGCTGGAGAGAGCTCGCCACCAAGACCCTACGCAGAGGGGCAGTTTCCCAGCTAACGCGAACGGCAACAGACGTCGAGACAGTCCGTGATCATATCGCACGCTTCACCGAATCAGGCCTGATTACGGCCGACAGACGCGACTTCGAGTTTGACATGACCATATGCTGTACCGGCTTCGACGTCGCGTACACGCCCCATTTGTGCGTTGACGCCCTCGTTTTGTTGATTTCCTTGGCCTACTCCCTGGCACAGGCTCTAGCTAGAGTGTTCACAGTCTAGGCTTTATTTGTCAATCCTTCTTCCCTTCTAACTTTTCTTCCGCAGTTTGCCGCCTGGAGGCGCACCTTGTTAACTGCCAAGTTGCAAAGCTGAAGAAGAAAGACTAAACTAAACTAAAGAACGCAGGATCTGTCCGTGAACTTATAGGCTATGGCCGATCTTTTGGAGTATTCCGTTGAACAGGTGGAGTTCTGCGAGTAGGATATAGCCCCCCTTCTCAGATGTTGTGGAATCTTCCATGAACGAAGGCACAGCCTTGAGGTAGGGAGTAGCCCGTGACACTCCCCCCTTCACCGGAAAGAAAGGAGATTCAGCTAACTGGGGCCTCCAATGAGGCAGCCCGGTCAAGGGTCGAGAGTGCGTCAAGATGCGGGAAGCATGGGTCGAGAAACCGCGCGTTCATCTGAACACGGCCACGCCGGGTTTCCCCAACTTCATTCACATCGGCGGGCCCACGGGGAACTGGGGCTCGGGCTGTGAGTACGGATGAGAATACGAAATCTCCAACGCCGAACATAGCCTGGCCCATGAGCGAAGGTTCAGACGTATTTGTCATGGACTCCAATCAGCCGCCCGACTCGAAGAAATCGGAGCGTGATTTCGAGACATCATTCCTCTCGTTGAAAGCAGTCGAATGCACCGAGGGCATGTCTTCCTACGAAAGGGAATTAGGCACTGCGGCCAAAGTCCAGGGCTTACTTCAAACCAAGATGGCCAGGGTTTTGAGATTATAGGAGCCAAATATCGACTCTATCCATGCTTTCGCAACTACCATGGAAGCATTCTTGATGGGAGATTGCACGAGCAAGAAATTTCCTCGGTAAAGAAGAACATCTCAGGTGTCCAATTACAAGGCGCAGGAGCATCCAACATAACAATTTATGGACACATTGTCGATCGTCAACGGCAATGGCTATGATGCTAGCGACATCAGCGCCGCAAATATAGATAATGACTGGTTAGTCCTAAATCAAACGGATGGTACAGTCAAGATACCACGCGGCTGCTTGAGAGCGATGCATCTCAAGGCGTTCTCAAGCATATCCCACGGGCTCAGCTCAACGCTTCATGGTACATGCTTCCTAAAAGAGTTTACTCGCATCAAAGACCAGCCCGGCGGAGGAGGATATGATATCAACTGTGGAGAGAAATTGTTCTTGGGTCCATTGTCCAGTCAAGGCAATTTGACATGCGAATCTATTCTAGCTGCGTATAGCGGAATGGCCCAAGCCATCACCAGTCATTTGAGAGCCACTACTCTCGACCCTAAAGGTGTTCATGTCCCCGTCAACGGAACCGGGAAAATGACAACAATCTGCATCCGTGCGGAATGGTCGTGGTTAGCCTATACGGGTATTCTCCTGATCCCGTCCGCCTGCTTGTTCTTGTTTACCTTCGTAGAGAGTTGCAGAGAAAGGAGCCAGCGGCCGATATGGAAGTCTTCAATTCTTCCGCTATTATTTTACGATGTGAGCGTGAACCATACGCTCACGGGAACTGATTACGATACGCACCACCGTAGTGCAATGCCATTACTGCAACTCGGTGACTTGAAGTTGTTGGCGAACACAACAGCAGCACGTTTTAGTGCAGATAGAGACACACCTAGATTTGTAGTTGTGAAGGAGAAAGAGTTCGCAGATATAGAATGAAGCTAGCTGAGGTAGACTTTAGGATAGAAGTCCCTTTGCGGAACAATGTGCCAGTCGCCATTCTCATGGTAGAGAGACTTCAAAGGTATTCACACTGGCTTCCAATAGTAACAAGTTCTGGATGTGTTCCAACGCGGCGCCAACGAGCTGTATTCCTTGCTTGAGGGAATTGTATGCCTGATGCATGTCCGGGGGGAGGGAGCCTGTAAATATGACGACAGAAGAAAACGTCGCGCACTAACTAGCAGACTTATTCCCCAAACTGTTCATACTTTCATGGAGGTAGGAGAGGCAAATAAACGGGGCACGTGTGCGCATTTCTGCATTTCTCCGCTGTTGGTCAGCCCTTTTTCAGCCCTTTTCCTGGCCAGCAGCGAGCGAACGGGCGTGCCAAGTCCTCTCATCACCCCCAAAGCCGAAAGTGGTATGACGCGTCAGAACGCGCTTTGCATCCCAGCCGGCAGCGGCTGAGAACAGTTGCATGGTCGTTGGCGTTGCTAAGGTGGACAGCTGATCGTGTGAGGGATTTTCAATGCTGGCTGGAAGGATAGGCCTCCAGCTCGTCTGCCGCTGTCGTTGTGTCGCATCATGTGTTGTCACCGGGTCGTCCACAGCCAACCCAAGAAAACGCAAGTCATAGTTTGGTCCATCTTTGCCTTCTATGACATTTGGTCAGGCTTGCCAAGGACCAATTCACGTCGAAGCGTCGCTTTCCCTCGCCCCCGTGATCAACTTCATTTCTATAAATCCCTCCTGTGCTCACTCAGACTCGAACATTCATTTCAATATCTTGAAGCCAACCACAAGAGTCCCCTGTCAGGTTCCTGTTCTCTTTCCGTAGAGCCCATAACTAGTCCTGGTGTCCTCCGTTCCCGTACATCCAGTAATCTTGTATTATCACACTCTCGCCCACGTGAACCCTTAAAGCCCACCACAAAGTCGGCTTCCTGCGCGCCCTTACACAATGACGGTTCGAACAGCAACCCAGGCCGACCTTGCGACAATTCAAGGCATCATAACAAAGGCCTTGCCGGCAGATTATCAATGGAAGTACTGCTTCCCCTCCCGCTCCTCAGTCAAGCACGACTCTGGCATGTACGTCCAGCGCGCCCTGGAGCAGACTCTGGCGTCTGGTAACACCGGCTGGCTCGTCTGTGTGGCGAAAGACCCCAGCAATCGCAAGCCCGTGGGCGTTGTCGTCTGGAGCTGGACGGATGCCAGAATACAAGAACACGTTGATGATAATGCTGCGTCCCAAGGATTGACTGGTAGGCGCGTCCATAACGTCCTAAGTCATCGCCCGGTTGAAGGCCTTCACTTCCTGAGCCATTCCGGGAAGTGTTGCCGTCGTGGACAGAGACTTGGTCTGAGAAAAAAGCTGCGCTCATTGATTTGTGTGACTTATAGTGGCGGGGGAGGCCCTCGGGGGACCTGGAGATATCGCCGCAGACGGAGGAACGACTAAGACCAACACCGGCAACGCGGAGAATCACCGTATTGTTGCGCTCAGCAACGCCGTCGCCGCCTGCCGAGAGCGTCAGCTCACCCGCTTCAGCCAGTAGCTGCACCTCCATGTCGTTGCTATTCACCCGGAGTACCAGCGTCTGGGCTATGCGAAGCTTCTCTGCCAGCATGGAATGCACTTGGCCAAGGAAAAGGGATTGGCTGTATCGGCGGTCACGAGTTCATGGGGCTATATTTTCTTCTCTGGTCTGGGCTTTGCCGACTGTGATCACGTCGTTGTGCATGTTCCCGGCGAGCAGGACGAGATTGGGCTCAAGGCTATGGTTCTTGCTGCGCCGCAGCAGGAGAAGAGAAGGGGATCTTTTCTTGATATGTTGGGGTTCGGTGAACGGAGGCGTTCGAGTGACGTTAGGACATCAAAGTCCTAATTGGCCGGAGCCAGGCGTGTTGTTCTTAGGTGTTTTAGGTCTGCCAAATTGAAACTACTATAAAACTGTTGGTCCTGTGATTACTTGGTGAGTCTATGAACCCTCATGGCTTTTAAGTCGTAATGGTCGCGACAGAATCTTTGAGCGCGGGCCGACGCAATGAAGACCGAGGCTAGTGATGCGTATGCTTCCTGTAGGTTATAGAACATTAAGGAGTTATGGAAGCAATTTACCAATTTCAGCATTTGATCCGGGAAGCACCACCTTTCTTGAAGACTGACAGCCCTTCACGAAGCACTACATAGCAAAGATGGGAATCAGCAATCAGACCTCAGGGTCAGCATGATGCGTCCCATATTGAAAAGTCAGTTGAGACTGTGGTTGTCGCTACCTGCCGCCTACCGAGGCGATGCGACTGTTACATCAATAGTAGATCCCGTTGTGCCATTCTCGAATTAGCCGCGTGGAGCGGTTAAGAGGCCTATGAGCGGGACGGGGACAAGCATGTCTGGATTCGGAGCATGTCAACCGGCTCTCCAGCTTGTCTGACACTGCCGGATGCGGCAACTTTGTAGTACACGGATTCGCCATTCATGCTTAAAAGACTTTTTCATGACACAAGCGCGGGATTGCTAGACTTTGGAAGTGGTCCGTGAGGACGAATGAGCAAGTTTGGATGAAAGAGGTGTTTTCATAAATGTGAAACTACAGCTGATAAGAATAGAAGGGCTAGTCAAGCAACATGATCATATCGCATAGAATATTGAAAATTAGAAGCCGAGAGTCTGGCCTGCCTCCGCGGTGACAGCGGCCTTGACTTTGCCAGATCCCAGAAGTGAGTACGAGTAAGGGAAGCTGCTGGCGGTGAGCGTGCCGACAGGCGCCGTGTTTGCGCTTTCGCCAGTGAGGGTCACGTCGATTGCGACCACATATCTGCATCGCCGATCGTTAGTCACGCGATCGAGATTTTGATTCTTGAAGATAAGATAGCACCGTAAATATTTCGGAAAAGATGCAAGCGAAAGAAAAGGGGCAACATACCCAACCTCCTTGCTGGACTCGGAAAAGATAGCCTTTTTGCCAACATTCTCGAAGAGAGAGCTCTGTATGAGGGCCTGAGCACCCATACGGGAGTTGAGACCTAACCCTGATTAGCAAAGCTCTTTCTTCCGAACTCGTCTGAGATCGCCATGGACAGGCTTTGCAGTAGACCAGATTGTACCATCATGGAGGGGGCCAGGACTCACCAGTATCCATGTCATTGTAGTACTGGTTGTAGACATGAGCAGTTCCAAAGCGTAAGAGAGGTCCACGGCTGCGGACGTTATACCAGTGGTTGTTCGCGTACGTTACATGCAGAGTTCCAGTGTCCTCGGCGGCGTTGTTGTCAGAGTGACCCACAAGAGAGCCCTTGGCGTGGTCGTGGAAATAGGTATGCGAGACCGTGACCCAGTCAGCAGCGTGGGACAGATCAGTGAGTCCATCATAGAAATCCTTGTCCACGTCTCCTCGGGAAGCCGACAGGTCGCAGTGGTCGACCCACACGTTCTTGGATAGTTGGATAGTGATCGCATCTCCATAGTCGGCCTCAACCTTGCTGATCTTCATGTTCCGGACAATGACGTTCTTTTGTCCCAGGATGGTCAGGCCAATGCCTTCCAGCGCTACAAGTCGTGCAGTCAGCGTCTATGCACATGCATGATTGCGATGTTATCAGTCTTACAGCTGCCGCTCTTCCCAACAATGGTCTTGTCAGAGCCGACTTGAACCTTGGCCGCGCCCACAATGTTGCCCTGGACAATGACAATGCCAGGACCTGACGCAATTGCTGCAGCTGAAAGCTGAGCGAGAGTCGTCACAGTCGTTGTTGTGCCACCAGAGCCGCCCTTAGTTCTAATGAGATAGTCAGAAGAAACTCCAACAATGGTGCCATCGCCACATACCCGCCATTCTGGGTGCAGTAGCCGATGTTGCAGGCATCGGTGATGGCTGCTCTCTTGTTCAGCGAGTGGCCCTGCTCAACAGTGGGAGTTGGCGAGGCAGAAGCAGCCACGGCCAACAGAGCCCAGGATGCGAAGCTTGAGACCTTCATGGCAAGAATCGCGTAGTCAGAATAGAATATGGACAAAAGCAAAGGGATAATACGTTGAATGCGAATGGCGACACGAAGACCAACACCTTTTCTTCTCATTGTGCTTAGCGATCTATTATATGCCGCTGACTGCCGACCTACATAGCATCATGATCTCAGCCTGTTTCCCCGCTGCGCCTTCTGAAAGCTGATAGCCAAGCCCAAGAAACAACCAGAATGCAGGGGAACACTCTTCATTCCTTGGCATTGTGCGTGTGCTCCGCCAGTCTCCTTGGTCTATTACAGGTGATGGCCAGCCTACGACGGCCTCTTAGGTGGGATTCCGGGGGCCTTCCAAATTCCCCAAATGAGACGACGTTATTCCCATCATCGCGTGAGCTCCGGGCGGCAGTCACTCAGATCTCGGTTGAAACGGAGGCTTGCCCAAAAAGGCAGCCGGCGCAACGTCAGGCAGATTACTATTGGAGCAGCAATTAATCCAGTCGTCTTGTAGACGGGGCCGTCGATCCTCATTCATTCACCAGGGAGGCGCCACGGAGAAACATGTCGTTGGAGGAAAATTGCATTATTTCATTAATTACCCCCGTTCTGGGACAACGTGGGGGAGGCCGCGGGAGCAACGTGGCCCATCTCCGGGGTTACATCGTCCCCGCTTCGCTCCGAGTCCGCCGGCAGCGGAGCGGCGTCGATCTTCCAGCGGGGCATGACAATTGTTCTTTCAACTTTCGGATCACCGCTCCATTCGAACGGCTCACATATTACCAGAAGTTTGTAGTGTTAAAAATAATTGTAATGTATTTGCTAATACCTCTGATGAACAAGTGTCTCTTTTGGGAAAACGTTTCGTCAATTTCCGAGAGATTGTTCCTGTCGGAACCAGCCTAATTCAAGTTGGAGGTTGACTTACTTATGTTGAGACATCAGCAATACTGCGTTATACTGCACGCCTATTGGCCGCTACAATGAGTTTACTTCCGCGTTCCTGCATCTCGATGGACTGCGTCGGAGGAAGTGCAGCCCTCAACTTACAGGCCCGGGTTAGTGACCGGCCGGGAAATGCGATGGTGTCCATCTCGCACGAAAGCGGAATACGCCAATTACGGCCGAGTTTCGGACGTGGAGGCCACGTCTACGTCTGGATAAAAAGCAACGAAGAAGTTTAAATGGTCCGTCTTCGCATGCTCCCAGCATGGGGATTCGTGTGTTTCCCATGTGAATTGCAAGGTGGGTTGCGTTGACACATACGGGAGACAATGGATCCGCGCGCCAGCCTCACTCTAAATACTGCCCAAGCCATTTGGATGGCCGAAATTCAGACCATAGGGGAAGCTTTAGTCGCAGGTATGGTGGTTGATATCCCTATTCAAAGCTCAGGACAAACGCCCCGATTGGCCCGTAGTGTTTGTGTTTAATTGTGCGTGAAGGACCCGGGGCGGACGAGACCACAGATCCAGACGTGACAAGCTTCTTGCGGCAGCATGCGGAGCGAGCCGTAGTTGGGCTGGACCGATCTTTTGACTGCATACGAGTCTCACAATGCACGCAGTGTTCCCGGCGGGAGAGTGTCGCCTAAAGATTCTCTGTACTATTTGAATTCATCTCATTGCCGCGACGCTCTTTGGTGCATGTGGTAGGACCTCTGCCTATCATCTTGCTTTGCGACATCGTCGCATATTCGAGGGTTTGGATTGCTTCATTGGAGAATCTGCAATCTTCGAGTGATCTGCTTGGCGGTTCCAGCGCCTACTTCACCGCTACTGGTCGGTTTTCTGACATCTCGCCACTCATTCCGTCTTGAGGAGACCCAACCTCGTATCAAACGCGACATCCTCGTTTCAGTGCCTGGTTTCGTACGCTGGTTGGACTTTGCGTCGCTAGTAAGGACGACAGCTCAATCTTCTGCTCTTGTGGTGTTTGGGAGATTGAAAGCCAAGATTAGCCAAGTTTCTCTTGAGTTTAGAATGTCGCGACGCCGTGTAGACAGAAACCCCCACATGTCAGCCAGGTGCTAAATGGCTTCGTATTTTGCGATAATTGTTTGAAAGATAAGCGACTCGGGACAGTCTCCCTCCAAACTCAAAGACGCGCAAGAGAAGGCTGAAGCATGAGCCACAAGTCTGAGCTCATGTTTCGACATTTTACGGCTCCTTCGTTCGAATGAACTGAGCACACCACTCGCTTGATGCCGAACTTGGGCAAACGTTTCACGTCTTTCTTTTGGGATCTGCACTGGCCTTCGAGTGAACAGCCAATGACAATACTTGCGCTGAGAATCCCCTGAGTGGACTTGGGGGAAGATTTGTGTGGAATCCAAGGGAGAAATCCGTTGTTCACTCACCGGAGGTCCTCCGAAAGCACAACATGTCTTCCTTGAATGTGGATCACCGGCGAACCGATGCACCTGCGCAAGTTCGATCGCCAAAACCACGAGCTCTTCACTGCTCCATAATATCGTTCTAGAATAACGTGCGTATATGCAACTAGCGGTCTAGAATTGCTCGTAAGTAAGTGCTATTTGTCGCTTTGAAGCCCCTCTATATGGATCAGGAGTGATTTCGTGGCATGCGAGGTGGTGAAGCACGTGGCCTGGGGTCCCCAGACTGGGAAACAGCTTCGAAACCAGGGTGTGCCGTGTTCAACTTTAAAGTGGTTTTTTGAACCCGCCTTTTCTAAGCTGACTTTACCAGCCATTTTAGCTTTCTCCCTATGCGGTCCTGAAAGGAAAGTGAGGCTACCCCAGCCATTTCGACTCGTGGGAGCGTAGATCATCCCCACCCTCACACCTCTCACGTCTTGATGGCTGGTAACGGTTTTAACACCAGAGCCTTTTACTGCTCTGTCAACCTCATGGCTGTTGACACCAACCACACCATCTCGAGTCAACCCAGCCACGGGTTGAACTGCCAAC